TCAAAATGTTAAACATTAGGTTGCCTGAGGTGTCGTGCCGTGGATAAGGTCGGCTGATGGCGGGCATTGGAAATATATGATTTTTATGACGAGGGGGGAGGTGAGAGGAAGTGGTGATTAGGAACCACTGTATGTTTATTGGCAAGGATGGTTGGGTCACTGTATAACACTATGGGTGGAGTTATATATGTATATATGTTAATGTATGCTTATTTATGTCTAACGTTTTGGTTACAGAAAGAAGAGATTTAATAAATAAAGTTATGGATGTGTTATGCAGTAATTTAGTTTGTGATAATAAATGCTGTGGCCTGTTCATCCATACTAAGTGGTCTGTCGTTATTGGGGGGGTAAATGGGTTTAGATTTGTTCTAGGCTGCATCGCGATTCCCCACTACGTACATACATGTGTACTTGTATGTGGTGTATTTCGCTGTGTATCTTGTTTGTTTGCCCAGTTTTTTGGATGGGTTAGCTTTGTTCTGCGCTTCCACCTTTGCTAGGGTTAGCGTCAGTCTGCTCAGCTCCGATGCCTGCTTTTTCTTTTTGTTGGCTCCCAGTTGTATCATTAGCCCTCGCATGACTGCCTTGATAACAACAATAACAACAATTTTGACAGTTTTAGCAATTTTGATAGTTTTAGCATTTTATTCAATTTGTTCTTCTGTCCCTGTTGTGGCACAGGTGTATTTGTTACCGTGCGTGTGCTTGCGTTCTGTCCGTACCAGTATATAGTTAGTCGTGTCTTGTCTTTATGTACGTTCGTAGTGGAAGGGTTAAGGTGTGGTGTCTACCAACTATCTACAATGTGGGCAACTGTTCCGCTTTGCCTCTAGGATAGATCTGTAGTCTTTACATCCTTTTGCACCATCTCCTCTGGCCTTGTCGTCGAGGCTATTCTTGGCTCTCAATATCATAACAAATTTTTAAAAAAAATTTTTGGTCTGTGTCTGTATTGCTTAGGGCTACCGAACCCTCTACCCTCCTTCCTTTGTACGTCTCTTGATTCCCTCCGTCCCTGTTAACTCATCCCTCTCCCCCTTTCTGTTTAAGAAATTTTCCCCATTTCTGTCTCCATATGCTTCGCCGTTAGTGTTTGTTGATTTGTTGTAGTTTCATAGGTGAGGTTTAGGGGTATCTGGTTTACTAGGTTGCTCCTTTCTGGGGCTTGTGTCTGTTTCCAACCTCTGGCTATTAAGAGGTTGGCTGCTATTAGTATGTGGAATACCAGGCTCGTCTGTGCCTTCGTATGTGTTCCTATTGGGATAAACAGTAGTGCTCTTTCCGGACTCAGTTTGTCTTCTATTTGCAGTACCCCTTGAATTATCCCCTCTACCAATCTCCAGTAGTCCCTAATGCTCGGGCAGGTCCACTATATGTGGAACATCGTTCCCTCCTCCCTCAAGCATCTCCAACATGTCTTTGAGGTATTAGGGTATATAGTTGCTAATCTGGTTGGCACCAGGTACCATCTGTTTTGTATCTTACGCATTAATTCTAAGTGTGATGCACACCTCGATCTGCCTTTGTGTGCCATGAATGCTTTTCTCCATTGTTCCACTGTGAATGTTTTGCCCATATCTGTATGCCACACCTCCCTGAATTTGTCCGTCTTTGCTTGATTCGCAGTATTGAGTACAGTGTATAGGAACGAAAGTGGTTTCTTGGGCACGGACCCGACTTCACATGCTTTTTCTATACATTCGGTGTGGGGAGGGATGGTGGTTGTGGTGGTGTTGGATAGAATCCCCTTGAGCTGTAAATAGGAAAATATAGCCCTTTGTGGTAAGTTGTATCTCTGCTGTAGCTCTGGGAATTGTCTTAGGGTTCCCTGGTTATATAGGTGTCTGACCGTCGTGCATCCTCCGTTATTCCACATTCGGTGGTCAAAAGTGGGGTTTTGCAATAAGTAAGCTGTATATTGGGGTGGCCAATGTCCACTCGCGCTTGTAACCCAATTGTGGTTTGACCGTGTCCCACACTTTTAACAGTAGCTCTGTGGTGTTGGGCATGTCTGGTTGTGGTGGCCGCTTTTTATGTGGGACCCAGAAGAGGTATCGGAGGCCCTTGTGGCATGTCTAGGTCGTCTCCATCGCTACCCACTGTGGTGGATTTTGGGCTGTGTGTGCTTGTAAGATCGTGACTAGGAGTGCTGCTCTATAATATGTTTGCACCTCTGGTAGTCCCATCCCTCCCAGTGCTATAGATTGAGTTAACACCTTTGTAGCTACTCTGATTTTTTTGAATGCCCATACAAAGTTAGTGAGGACCTGCTGTAGTTGTTTCAGATACAAGTTGGGTACGTGAATTTGTAGTGTCCTAATTAGGTACTGAAATTTAGGCAGCACCATCATTTTCACCACCGCTAATCTCCCTATCCAAGACATATACTTGTTGTCCCATTTTTTCAAGGTTTCCCTAATTTCCCCCAGTAGTTCCCATAGTTAAGGTCTAATAGCCATCCCGGGTGTTTCAGTATTTTCAGTCCAAGGAATGTGAGGTGATCATCCCTCCAGTCTAGCGGGAATGCAATCCTGAGCTTTTCTATAGTGTGATGCGGTACTCCTATCCCCATGGCCTGCGTTTTAGTAACATTGAGCTTGTAATACGACTGCTCTCCGTATATTTGTATTTCTTTCAAAAGGTTGGGTAGCAATATCTGCGGCTGTGTAAGCGTAAGTAATATGTCATCCGCAAACAGGTTGGCTTTGTATTCTGTGGCTCCCACCTTTATGCCGTGGATTAAGGGGTTTTCCCTTATTTTTGTCACCAGTGGCTCTAGCGCCAGGACGTACAGCAGGGGGTGAAAAGGGCATCCCTGTCTCGTGCCGTTCGTGAGCTTGAATGGCTCCGACAAGAATCCTGAATTGAGTACTCTAGTCGTGGGTGAGCTATATAGTGCTTTCACCACCGTCCCGAAGGCTTGGGGTATACCGTACCCACCCAGCACTTCTCTTAGGAACCCCCAGTGTAGGTGGTCGAATGCTTTTTCTGCGTTGAGAGAGGGACAAATAGTCCCTCTTGGCGCCCATTAGTCAGGTGGTGGAGGAGGTTGATGACTTTCCTGGTATTATCCACTCCCTGCCTACCCTTAACAAAGCCTACCTGATCATCATGGATGATAGGGGGCAGCATTGTTCCCAACCTGTTTGCGAAGATTTTAGTGAATATTTTCGTGTCTGTATTGAGAAAGGAGATGGGGCGGACGTTTTGTGGTACTGTCGGATTTTTGTTGGGTTTTGGCAGCGTGACAATGTGGGCGGCCAATGTTTCTTTGGGGAGCTTCCCGTTTTGGGCTGCGTCTGTGAACATTCTCGCTAGGTATGGCTCCAGGGTGTGTCTAAATGTCTTGTAGTATTGGTTGTCAAACCCGTCTGTGCCCGGGGATTTCCCTGTCGGTAAATCTCGGATCACTTCTCTGACCTCTTGGGTATCTATCGGTTTAACAAGGTCTAACTGTTGTTGGTGCGTGAGCTTGGGGAGCCGCACACCTTCTAAGTATTGCTTTATGCTAAGGTCTGTTGGGTGTTTAGTCTGCTTGTCCTCCTGTATGTTATATAGTGATGAGTAATATGTCGCGAATGCGCCGCTTATGCCTTTTGGGGTTGTCGTCTTAGTCCCTGTGTGGTCCGTTAACTGAAGTATCTTTTGGTTTGCTTGTCTTGTTTTTAGTCTTTGCGCTAGTAGTTTGCTTGCTTTGTTGCCCTGTATGTAGTGATTAATCTCGAGCCTCTGCATATATGTGCTAAGATTGCCTATTGCCTGTTGGTGTATAAGTTTGGTGATCTGGGCTATCTTTGCCTTCGTTTCTAGGGTTGGGTTATTTTGGTTGAGTCTGTTTAGCTCGTAGAGTTCTACCTGCCATGTTCTATATTGAGATTGTGTCTGCCTTTTCACATGCGTTGCCCTCCTTATCAGTAGGCCTCTCGCCACTGTTTTGTGAGCTGACCACAAGGTAGCATCGGAGACATCTCCTGTGTCATTGATTGTGAAATAGGTTTGGAGGTCTTTCGTCAGTGACTTCATGAAACCCTCGTCCCTTAGTAGTGAATTATTAATTTTCCAAGGGCTGCGGTTCTTGAAATCATGTAGATTTTTTAGTTCTATGGTCACTGGTGCATGGTCTGACGATGTGATTTGGTCTTTTTCGCTATAGAGGACTTGGTCTAACGCTGATCCCTTTATGAGGAACCCATCTATTTTAGAGTAGTCCATTCTGTGGGGTGCGTGGCTCTCCATGTATCGTAGTAGTGGTGTTCATGAAGTAATTTCGCTATGGCTCTGCATTGTCTCTTTAAGGGGCATTGATTCCTGCTGTGCAGTGATAGGGTGGTGTCTAACTGCGGGTCTAGTATGTGAATTGTCCTCCATTTTAAAAATTTGCCACCAGCTCGTTGTTGGCTGTACATAGGTCATCTATTTTGCCTTCCAGTGCCTCCGTTCGCGAGCAAATTTGGAAATTTCCGTGTGCATGTTTTTTTTTTCTGTATTGACTACAAACATTTATTTGTAAATGATTTAACAGAATTCATTTTTTTTTAAATGAATAAAATAAGTTTCCCTCCTCTTCCGTCACCACATGTGTAAAATGCCTAAAACTTTAAATTAACTTTGTATATCCACACATTTAAATTGTAAAGCTCTGTAAAATACGTTGGTACTATATAAATGTCAATAATAAGAGTTTACTTAGAATTTCTGGAAATACACACTGTAGTAAAAATTCCAAAGCATGCTTAGGGCTCTCATTGGGGCAGGGAGTGGCAATCTGTGAACCCCAGATAAGAAGTTCAAGATATTTGAAAATGGAATGGTTTGTTCGTCCACTTACACAAAGGGGTGGGGAGGGAGTGGGGGGGTCACCCCTGGCACCATAACTACTATCTGATGCTGGTATTTCCTAGATCAGCAGAGATCCCATACTAGTGCTGCTATTCTGAGGATGTGAAAAATACATGTAGTCTTAAGTTTATTACCTGAAGTAAATAACTTATACAAGCAACACAATAAAACATTTTATCACAATACAATTTAATCTGTCAGCTGCAACATTGGTAAATGCTTGCTGTATAACAATGTTTTTCTCCATACCCTTTGTGCTATATTTTGACTCACAGTACTGCATAGTGAGTAAACTCATAACATCCATAATAGTTGTTCTTGCCGTAGAGATACACAGAATTCATGTGACCCACAAAGCTTACAATCAACTCACTTTCTGCAAACAAAATCACAGTTACTCTCCTGAAAGTGATACATAATGAACATGCCATCAATAAATATGATGTGAAATATTTTAATTCTCACTTCAGTGAATAATTCTGCAAAGAGAATTTCAAATTTAAGGCCAGAGTAGCAGAACTGAAAGCACAGCTGACTTTTTCAATTTTGGCTATTATGACCTTAAAGGACCACTATGGTCACCCAGACCACTTCAGCTCAATGAAGTGGTCTGGGTGCCAGGCCCCCCAAGTTTTAACCCTTCAGATGTAAACATAGCAGTTTCAGAGAAATGAACGACTATTCAGAGAAACTGCTATGTTTACATTGCAGGGTTAATCCAGCCTCTAGTGGCTGTCTTCCTGACAGCTGCTAGAGGCGCTTCCGCGACCCTCAATGCGAAAATCGCATTCAGCATGCAGAACGTCCATAGGAAAGAATTGAGAAATGACTTCCTATGGGCGTTTTTAATGCGCACACGGCTCTGGCCGTGCATGCGCATTCCACTCCACTCGGGAGCTGATTTTGGAGTGGGAGGAGAGGTCACCAGCGCTGAGGGAGCCCGGCGCTGGATTAAAATAAGTAGCTGAAGGGGTTTTAACCCCTTCAGCCCAGCAGGAGGGGGGGCCTGAGGGTTTGAATTCACCATGAATTCTTACTTTAGCGAATAACCCTGTAAGTGTTTATTTTTGGGAGACCACATTTGAACACCTCTAACATATTTAGTAAATAAAACACCTTCATATGAAAATGGCAAACATTTCATATGCAGAGATATTTTTTTTAATGTAAAATTCTATATTGTTGATATTTGGCAAGCAGAACATTCCAGACCTCATCCAGGGTTAACTTTGAAGAAAGCTATATCTAAGGTCTTGAAAGGGATACAAAGTTAGATAAAGTAGTAAAAAAAAACAACCTAGATGTTATCACTTTGCAAAGAATTTGAGGCAATGAAAGGGACTGGGTGGGCCGGTGCCATATGACAGTTAATATGGATAAATTCAAAGTTATGCATTTTGGAATACAAACAAATAAGTCTCGAATTCACTCAGAAAACAAGGTATTGTATTACTGAATGGCAAGTGAGTGGAATTTCAGACACATGTTCTCTAGAAAAATATGTTCTGTAACTGGAAAAAGAATGGAGGAAGTTTCAAAGTTAGTAGAATGAATGAATAATTAGATCTTAGAGGAAAGGCTAGAATAGTGGAATTTATTCATCCCAGAGAAATGGTATATGAATTTCTGATAGAATTATACAGAAATCTAATGGGTAAATGCAAAAAAAAAAAGGTTTTTGAACCTGCTCATTACCAGGATCGTAGAAAGGACAAAGGTTCATTTGATATTTAGTTAAGATGAGTAAAAAAAGAAAAGAAGAAAGACTATTATAAATAACACCCCCCCCCCCTTTTTTTTTTTAATCATGGTATTAAAGAAAATAATTTTTTAAAGGTAATACAAACATATGATAATTAATACAAAATAATTATAAAAATAATTAATAGTAACTGCATCTTGCTCCAGGGAGAATTGTATATGTTATTTGGGAGTCAAGAATGTATATATATATTTTTAAAATAAACATACATAGAAGTATGAAAAATCAGTTTGATGGATTCAATGCTGTTTCATAATTACAAAACAAAACTATAGAAATAAATAATATTAAACATTTACACATTACATAGAGTGAACAGTGTTTTTTTTTAACAACACTAGTAATATAACGAACGACTATTTTGCGTATTTCCTAAATAACGGTTGGGTAGATATAGTAAGAGGTGAAAACTGAGAGAGAAACATAGTACATTATTATTTTGGTTTGTGTTTAACCCCTTAAGGACCAAACTTCTGGAATAAAAGGGTATCATGACATGTCACACATGTCATTTGTCCTTAAGGGGTTAAAAGGCTTAGTAAGAAAATATTTGTGTATTTATTCTCCAATATTTCCTTTCTTTGTACCTAACAGTGTGATACCTTTGTAACATACCAGATTAGGTATCTAGGCAAGACATCATGTCTCTATCATCAACAACAAAAAACAACAAAATTGACAACAGTTTTGTGTAAACGTATTGTCAGGTTCCATTATTTCATTATAAATTCTCAATTGTTTGTAAAAAAAAAAAAAGGAACTGGCAGTTCTTCTACAAGTGACAGTTTCTCAATCCTTTTACTTCGCAAATACTATTGATTTTTTAATGAGGGGTGATGGGTGCAGGGGGAACCTCCGCAACAAGCCCTTGTGCTTGCGTCATCATTACCCCAAGTTGCTCTGGGCGCAACGGTCGTGCAATCAGTCTATTTTTTTCTCCTCTGCTGATATTCTTTTATAATTTTTTTTTTTTACCTTTATCTAGTTCAGCTCATTTCAATTTAGCTCCCTCTTCACACATTTCATTGCTCTATTGAAAAGTCTGTGTTCTCTCTAGTTATTATTTTTATTATTTAATTTTTTATATAGCGCCATCAGATTCCGTAGCGCTGTACAGTGGGCGGACTAACAGACATGTAATTGGAACCAGACAACTGGACGTACAGGAACAGAGAGGTGGAGGGCCCTGCTCAATGAGCTTACATTCTAGAGGATATTTGGTCTGTCCTCATAATTTCATTTAACCTGAGCAGGATTAACCATAAGGAAACCGTAAGGGTCCGACTAGGTCCCAGGGATTAGACAGGGGCTCCCAAATCATGAATTTGCTTGGCCCCATTAACCACCGTTATGTTAAAAAAAAGAGGGAGGCCCCAAAATGGTCGCCTAGACGTGGGTTCTTAATGCTTCTCTGAGTAAAACCTGCAAATGAAAATTATTGCAGTTCTTTGCAGCGAATAGACTATATATTTGCACTGTCAGGAAAAAAAGGCACATTAATATACTATAATAAATATTGCATAGCAAGACATAAGTGTGATATTTCATATAAGAGTTCCTATCTTAAAGCTAAGTCCGTTTTGTGCAAATGACCAGAGAGGTAGTTTCATTCAACAGTTCCCTGAGATATGAAAAGGAAGTGTTAAACATTGAACACATTTTACCTTTCTTCCTGAAAACTATGGATGGCTATCTCAAAGTAATAATATTTATTCTATCAGAGTTAAAAAAAAAAAACCAAAAAAACTATCAATAAACAGAGATCAACACCTGTTTGAAATGTAACAAGTAGTTGTCATCACTACTAATGTAAGAAATGCATTAATGAGTTTGGTTGTCCTGGGTATCCCTGAAGTCCCAAGAGTCTTTCGTCTAGGGAGTTCACCCTTTTTAAAGAGGGTAATAGAAACATAAACTTAGGCCCATTTTTTTAAGGTGTTATTCATATATATATATATATATATATTTTACTAATACATTAGTTTGTAATGTATACATGCCTTACTTCTCAATCGTCTGTACTGTGTCTTCAAATATTTTATTTTGAATAAATTAACTACAATATCTTCTAACTTATGGACCTTTTTTTCTTTTTCTTTTTAAGTAGAGATGGTGTTCTCCTTCAGACATCTATTAAGAAAGACATAAACCTGGTAGCCCTCCCTCAACAACTAAGGAAGAGCTGGCGTACATCATTTTTTCTGTCACAGATTTACTCATTTACAAAGGTTTGCCCATAGGAATCTAGCGCACCACCTTGGTGTTGTATTTTTAATTCTGCAGAGATCTCTCATCCTCACAAAGAAACTGATTTTAACATCCAGAGAGAATTCACCATTCTAATCACATACATCACCCACGGAGCTGTGTTGGTTTTTTTCAAATAGAGATGGAAATAAATTGTACTTCCACAAATCCTTAAAGGACAAGGAAGTATAGCCTTGATAATGCCCAGAGAAGATCCGCAAGTGTAGAGTTGAATAATATTGATTCATAGGATAGTCATTTAAAGCACATCTTGGTAGGCAGAAGACGGTTTGATGTCTATAGTCTCATTATTCCATGTGGCATCTGTTGTGGTTTGTTTCTGTTTCCTGTTTGCATCATTTCGGTTAACTATGTATGAGGCCAATCCCATGAAGATTCCAGATGAGGTCACAGCAATACAGGTGGCGTAGAAAACCAAGCCGTATTGATCAGTATAATCTACCAGTAACCCTGAAATTAAAGAAAACAGAATGCTTGACTAAGACATCTGAAAGCTGGATGGAAAGGGACAACATGAGAGAAGAGGGCTTATGAAGAAGGAAAGGGGATGGTTGGGGAGAAATTGGCTAATGGGTAAGAGAAGTTATAGAACAGGGGTTCGTAACCCAGACCTCAAGGACCCCCTACCAGTCCAGGATTTAGGGATTTCCTGGGTGTGTCTAAGGTGTTTAGAAAAAGAAAAAAAAACACCTTAGACACACCCAGGTAATCCCTAAATCCTGGACTGGTAGGGGGTCCTTGAGGACTGGGTTGAGAACCCCTGGTGTAGAAGGAAGAGAGGTAATAATGGATACAGTTTTGGATGGATAGGTAAGTAGGGTGGGTAAGAAAGAGAATAAGTCTCAAGAGGAGGAAGTACGGAATGGAAGAAATAGACGAACTATGAAGGTAGGAAGTCTGACAGTGATGGAGAGGACAACTGGATAATTACATTACTATAGAACACTGCATTTCAACTATTTCTAGATTTTGCAAAAGTAGCATATATTAATGTAGATCCTTGTAAAGCAACTGGTTTTACATTTGTGCACAACACTTATGTGGTCTCTGCAATAACACACAGAACTGTATGTAATCAGTCTTTTTACAATCTGCCTCTGTTTTCATGCAAAGTAATATATGCAAGTTAAACTTTTTTGCAAGTATTTTATAAAATAGAATTTGATATTCAAGGAAAGTACTGTATGGGATACGTTTTATATTCATTCAGGACACAGCGCATGGTCAGGAATCAAACATTCAACACAAAATGTTATATAATCAGTTGGTGTTTGTGCAGATCACTGTATTTCCATTCTGTTTAAAGTCACTTACAGAATTGTATGTTTCCAATGAGTTTATTCATACAAAGTACTTTTGATTACGTATTTTAATCTATGCAGAGTACAATATGTGCTCTGTTCTTATATTTATTGTGGGCATTTCTACGTCCAGGGACGTTTTAGCCGCGAGGCAAACAAGGCATTTGCCTTGGGCGGCATTTTCCAGGGGGCGGCAAAAAAAGCCACCCCCAAATGCCCAGGGAAAATGTCTTGTTAGCCTTGCAGCTAACAGTCCAGGCAGGCGGGCTGCTGGCGAGGGAGCACTTTCCTCAGCAACCTCGCGCGCCACAGAGGGATGCCGGGAGCTGGAATATGACGTCATATTCCGACTCCCAGCATTACTCTGTGGCGCGCGAGGGAGCTGACCAGAGCGCTCAGGGGAAAGTGCTCCCTCGCCAGCGCCACCCACCCAACCAACCAGCAGCCCCAAGGAAAGGGAGAAACCCCTCCCCCAGCATTCCTAAAGGTAAGGAGGCTGGGAGGGGTTAAATTAAAAAAAAAAAGTGAGTGTGTTAATGTGTGTTTGTCTGCTAGTGTGTGTGTGTCTGTTAGTGTGTGTGTGTCTGTTAGTGAGTGTGTGTGTGTCTGTTAGTGAGTGAGTGAGTGTGTGTGTCTGTTAGTGAGTGTGTGTGTGTGTGTGTGTGTGTGTGTGTCTGTTAGTGAGTGTGTGTGTGTGTGTCTGTTAGTGAGTGAGTGTGTGTGTCTGTTAGTGAGTGAGTGTGTGTCTGTTATTGAGTGTGTGTGTGTGTCTGTTAGTGAGTGAGTCTGTTAGTGAGTGTTTGTGTGTCTGTTAGTGAGTGAGTGTGTGTCTGTGAGTGAGTGTGTGTTTCTGTCAGTGAATGTGTGTGTGTATTTAGAATGCGGGGCAGAGGGGAAGGGTTGGGTGGGGGTGGCGCACGGGGGCACCTGAGTTTTGTCCTGCCTAGGGCAGCACAAAACCAGGATACACCACTGTCTACATCTGAATTATTTATATCCGCGCAGAATATGCTGTGTAGTCATTATTTTCATACACGTCATTGTGTGTGAAATGTAACAAGTGTTCAAACATATGCAAAATACATCAGCTCAATGATTAGTCTGTTTCCGCAGGGAAAAAAAATGTGGTCACCTTTTGCACTCTTGCAGCTCAGTGCATTTTATAAAAGTTTACATGTACAACATTGTGAATAATTTATTTGCATATGCAAAGCATTTTCTAAGACTTTTTTTGTCATGCTCACAGTGCAGCATGTGCAGTGCATTTTTATAGGCATGCAGTGCATTTTTTTTTAGTCTATATCAGTCTACTACATCTGACCAGTGTCAACATTCCCACGTAGAATCATGTGATACATTTATATTCGTGCATAGAAGCGTGTGAACAGTCCATGCTCAACAGTCTTTGTGTGCAGTGTTTATATGTACAAAGAGCAGCATGTTACCAGTCATTATATCTGCCTGTAAGTTTATTTTTATGTGATCAGTCATTGTATATGCATGAACAGTTTATATTGCCAATAATTAAATCTACATATTACAAATTGTTGTATTGACTGCACAGCAGCAGAGCATGTGTCCAGTCCATTTCCCCCCCACCTTTTAGGACATTGTCCCTTGATAGTGTCCATTAGAACTGAAGCTAACATACAGTGACACAATGAATCAGGCAATGAGATATGACATTTTCCCTTTACACTGAATATTTATATAGTAACAACAAGCAAAAGGGAATTACGTAGAAATTATTTTTTTCCCCTTTGCCTATAAATATGTACTGCTGAGACTGTTTTACACAGTCATGAAAATAGGTAATAATGAAGTAACTGTTCTAGCATATGAATTTAAAAATACAATTTGCAACCAGTGTATTAATATTGTTGTATTTTCCCCTTACTATGTAGTAAAATTTATTGAATAGGTATGTAATTTCTCCTTTTCACAAACCTGCTAATGGTGGTCCAATCAGAATAGTGATGCTTTCCAGAATGGTGAAAAGTCCAAATGCTCCGGGAAACCTCTTCATCCCAACAGTGTCCATCAGCACTTGGAAAACTAACGCTCCAATGAAGCTCATGGAGACACTGTACAAAATGCAATAAGTTACAAAAGCTGTGAAGGAAACCCAGGACGCACATACAAGATTACTGAGGCCATTCAAAGTCACTGCGAAACTAAATAGGTACATAAGTCGACCAGAAAATATCTTCTGCTGAGATACAAGGCCAGCTATTGGGCGTACAAAGATATTGATAAATCCAATGAGGGACAATAGTAAAGCAGCTGTTGATTCCTCCACCCCTTTGCTGGTAGCATAAGGAACCAAGTAGAAGAGTGGTAAAACAAAACCAAGAACCATCCACGTGACACCAATAGTGAAGATCTGGTAACGGCGATGCCGAAGAAGAAGGTCAAAAGCCATATACCTCTGAATTCCTTTACCACTTTCCATCTCCTCGCTTTCATTGGGTTTACCATTGGGTGAGTTTAGAAGAGCATCCTTCTTCGATATTGGGTTTGGTGATCTAACTGGTCTCATAATGGCCCCACACACACAGCAATTAAGCAAAACTCCACCAAAGATAAGGAAGGAACCCCTCCATCCTACTGATTCCAGCAGGTGTTGAGAAGCCAACGGCCATAAAGCCATTCCAATAGAGGCCCCTGTGGAGGCCAGAGCATTGGCCAAAGTCCGGCGTTTGATGAAGTAGTAACCTAGTACTGTAACAGCTGCCTGGAAACAGAAGCAGAGCCCCAGACCTAATTGCAAATTGAGAAAGAACAGTGAATAACGCAGTCTACAATGAATAACCATTTTAGTATTACATCATATTAATTTATTACATGAGTCAATGATTAGGTAAGTACTGCAGTTTCTCACAATGCCGAATGCAATTTACATTAAACCTATTCCTTCAATGAACTAACTTCAAGCATTTTATATTAGTGCAAACTGTCTAAATATGACATGAGAATACATTTACAATTAAGAATGCTCTTCAACTAATGTAATCTCTTACGGGCTTCACTTATTTAATTATTTAGCATATTTAATTTGCCATGTCTATTTAACACTTGGCATTATTATTATTTTCACTACTAACAAACCTCACTTACAAGAGCTCCGTATCATATTGCTAACATTTGACATCTCTCCAAGCAAAGTGAGGAATCTAAAATTATAACGCCAGTGTTTGTGAATTATGACTCTATAAAATTGACAACGATGCTGTCTTCAGAGTACATTGACCTCACAGTTCAGCACATCCAGTAACAAAACCCCTGTAGCTAAATTTGTGTGTACCAATTACGTAAGTCTTGGGGGCTAAGAGAGATTGTTTTATAGACACACAGTGTCACATACTTATACATTGTATCACAGACACGATAATGTGAATGTTATATACATGACGCTAAATGCCACAAACCACTGTAACACAGTTATTTTTAAATGTGGTATAGAATGATTTTTGTGTGTTATATATTTTTTACAAGTATTGTATCATGCAATTCCTAACAACATTTTTGGCTCAAAAAAGTAAACTTTGTGAAAATCTTCAATTTGAGCCCAAAGGCTATTTGGAGGCACAACTTCTTACTAGATATTGTTCAATATTGATAGCATTCCCTTTATTACTACTAGTCTATGTATGATAAAGAAAATGCATAATTGACTGATATGCAAAGGGCCAGAATTATGATGTTTATCCTAGCTCAAAAACCACTACAGCTTGTAGTGGTGATGGTGCTTGTAGGCTGCAATTGTGAATGCCTTATTCTTTTTTGAGCGGCTTAACACCAGCCATGGGATCCTCAGTACTCCCGGATCAATATGAATACAATTTACAGAGATTTTGTGTCATTCTGGGCCAATTATAAGTTATATTAATGTATAATCTACTACTGGGTTTTCTTACATTGTATAATAACATTGTACATTTTCCTTTTTTTACCCTTACGGGCTTTACATTACTTTTCTTCTGCCAATTTGGAGCTCAATGAATCACCCCCATGGTGTCACAAACACAGTATATCGCACACAGAGGGATATTCTCTACAGTGTGAACTATCAAGAAGTCAAAGTGAATTGAAAACAAATTTAGAATTTTAGACTGGATTAGAAAACAACTTTAAAAGTGATACTCACTAAAGAGAGAATTCAAGGTGATTTGAAAATTAATTTCAAATTTAAGGTCAAAATAGCCAACCTGGCTTCAGTTTGGCTACTCTGGCCTTAAATTTAGAATAACGTGTAAATTCACCTTGCAGTCTCACTTTAATAAGTCAGCTAAGGTTTATTTTGGCAATATGAGCTAAATATGAAATTCACTTTGGATTATTCATACTTTATTGATTAACCCTGACAGCCAGCTGTCCCAGATGGGGGTGCTTGCGTGTGATGGGAGTTACTATGAAAAAATGGTATGTTATTGAATTTTATTTTGTGTCTCTCGAAAGAAGAATGCATAAAAGTTGTAATCTATTCAACATGTGTAAAAGGAATAAGACTTATATATAATAAGACAATATTACCATAACTGAAAAAAAAATTATACCTAAATATATATGGTGACTTAAAAACTGTCTCAGCGTAACAGCCAGCATAACAATACAGCCAGCCTACACTGCTTTTCCAAAGCAGTGACAAACATTGCATGCAGAGCTGCAGTGTGTATATTTTCAGATATCCATTTGAAGGTATTATCTGTTGTAGTGTTTGTCATAGCCCTTCAACGGTTTGCCTCTTACCTCTTACCTACAATACTGATTGACTGGCACCTTGCTTCCGCAGAGCTTGTCATATACTGATGCTGCCGCTCATTCATTAGCTGAGAGCATCAGCCCAATGTTCTCAGCCAATGAATTAATCTCTGTCCATGTAACATGCACAGAATTAACATAATACATACAAAATATCTCAGTATGTGCAGAGTTTCATATTACAACACTGCACATACAGAGTATTGCACCATGACTACGTCAAAACACTTGAAGTGGTCATGGTGCATGGAGTAATCCTTTAAGTCTAGATCTCAAAACATGGACACTCACCTCCCACAAGTCCAGCACTCAAGTAGAGATGAATTATGGTCTGTGAGAAGGAACTAGCAACCATTCCTAATCCACACAAGAGACCCCCAATCATCACTGTTATTCTGCATCCTAATCTTTCCACCATTACACTGCACAGTGGACCTGCAGAGGGAGACAAGAAATACGTGTATTACTGTAATAAGATAGATAACTACTAAATGTTGGTTGAAATGGGTGGTGGGGTAGAAAAAAAGACATCTACAACTATTATAAACGTTTACTCATATACACTGAACAAAATTATAAACGCAACACTTTTGTTTTTGCCCCCATTTGAACTCAAAGATCTAAGACTTTTTCTATGTACACAAAAGGCCTATATCTCTCAAATATTGTTCACAAATCTGTCTAAATCTGTGTTAGTGAGCACTTCTCCTTTTTCAAGATAATCCATCCACCTCACAGGTGTGGCTCATCAAGATGCTGATAAGACGGCATGATTATTGCACAGATGTCCCTTAGGCTGGAGACAATAAAAGGCCACTCTAAAATGTGCCGTTTTACTGTATGGAGGGATCCGGGGGGGGTCAGAAAACCAGTAAGTATCTGGTGTGACCACCATTTGCCTCATGCAGTGCAACACATCTCCTTTGCATAGAGTTGATCAGGTTGTTGATTGTGGTCTGTAGAATGTTGGTCCACTCCTCTTCAATGGCTGTGTGAAGTTGCTGGATATTGGCAGGACCTGGAACACGCTGTCATATACACAGATCCATCCCAAACATGCTCAATGGGTGACATGTCTGGCATGCTGACCATGCAAGAACTGGGATGTTTTCAGCTTCCAGGATTGTGTACAGATGCAACATGGGGCCATGCATTATCATGCTGCAACATGAGGTGATGGTCGTGGATGAATGGCACAACAGTGGGCCTCAGGATCTCATCACGATATCTCTGTGAATCCAAAATGTCATCAATAAAATGCACCTGTGTTCGTTGTCCTTAGCATACACCTGCCCATACCTTAACCCCAATGCCCCCATGGGCCACCCGATTCACAACGTTTAAATCTGCTCACCCACACGACACCATACACTCTGTCTGCCATCTGCCCTGTACAGTGAAAACCGTGATTCATCCCTGAAGAGAACACCTCTCCAAAGTGCCATGACATCGAATGTGAGCATTTGCCCACTCAAGTTGGTTACGACGATGTACTGTAGTCAGGTTGAGACCCCGATGAGGATGACGAGCATGCAGATGAGCTTCCCTGAGATGGTTTCTGACAGTTTGTGCAGAAATTCTTTGGTTATGAAAACTGATTGTTGCAGCAGTTTTCTGGGTGGCTGGTCTCAGACAATCATGGAGGTGAAGATGCTGGATGTGGAGGTCCTGGGCTGGTGTGGTTACACGTGGTCTGCGATTGTGAGGCCGGTTGGCTGTACTGCCAAGTTCTCTGAAACGCCTTTGGAGATGGCTTATTGTAGAGAAATGAACATTCAATTCACGGCAACAGCTCTGGTGGACATTCCTACAGTCAGCATGCCAATTGCACGCTCCCTCAAAACTTGCGACATCTGTGGCATTGTGCTGTGTGATAAAACTGCACATTTTATAGTGGCCTTTTATTGTGGCCAGCTTAAGGCACACCTTTGCAATAATCATGCTGTCTAATCAGCTTCTTGATATGCCACACCTGTGAGGTGGATGGATTATCTCGGCAAAAGAGAAGTGCTCACTAACACAGATTTTGACAGATTTGTGAACAATATTTGAGTGAAATAGGCCTTTTATGTACCTAGAAAAAGGTCTTAAACCTGAGAGTTTAGCTCACAAAAATTGTGGGCAAAAACAAAAGTGTTGTGTTTATAATTTTGTTCAGTGTAAATACCTACTGTTCTAACAGACCTATATTTACAATGTCCATTATTATAGCTTTAGTAAAGGATATAGGTGAATTCAAAAATAAGGAAATATTCACATAAAAGCTAATTAAACATCAAATAGATATAATCTGACCATAAAATACATTATGAGTATAGGGCAGACCTCTTTGGCTGATTTTTTGCCTAAATTTAGAAAACAGACAAACTTTAGTACACAGATAATCTGTATGGTTTTTAAAAATTATTTTTATTAATATGTAAAATGTGGGCTAGAATTGGCTATGGCAGTACAGTACAAAGTTAAAGGACCACTATAGTGCCAGGAAAACATACTCGTTTTCCTGGCACTATAGTGCCCTGAGGGTGCCCCCACCCTCAGGGTCCCCCTCCCGCCCGGCTCTGGAAGGGGGATAGGTGTTTAAACTTACCATTTTCCAGCGCTGGGCGGGGAGCTCTCTGCCTCCTCTCCTCCTCCGATCCTCCTCCTGGGCTAAATGCGCACGCGCGGCAAGCGCTGCGCGCGCATTCAGCCGGTCGCATAGGAAAGCATCTACAATGCTTTCCTATGGACGCTGGCGTGCTCTCACTGTGAAAATCACAGTGAGAAGCACGCAAGCGCCTCTAGTGGCTGTCAATGAGACAGTCACTAGAGGATTAGGGGGAAAGGCTTAACCCATTAATAAACATAGCAGTTTCTCTGAAACTGCTATGTTTATTAAAAAATGGGTTAACCCTAGAAGGACCTGGCACCCAGACCACTTCATTAAGCTGAAGTGGTCTGGGTGCCTAGAGTGGTCCTTTAAGCAAATCAGGTTAAATTCACTCTCTATTAAGAATAACACTATACAAAAGTAATAGGCCTGAGAGCTAAAGTGAAACTATATATAGATTTCAACATTATTAAAAAATGAATACACATTATATTTTTAATAAAGGACACTCTCAGCACCATACCCACTACATTCCTGGGCCAAATGTAAATAGTCAAAGCTTTAGTAACTGTCTAACGTTTAACCTAGGGTCCACCAGTCGCCACTCCCCATCTCCTCTCTGGGAGAGCCAGAAACTCCTGCTCGGAGCTTCTTTTAGCTATCCTGTCATGCTGTGTAATCTAATTGCTTTAGCACATCAGCTGATCACGCTCAACCAATCAGCTAAACTCTGCACAGGTTGGGTGCAGTGGAGGCAGGGAGTGGCGTCTGCTGAAGCCAAGTTAAGAAATCAAAATGTTACTGGAAGGTTTGGCTGCTTACATTTGGGGTGCAGGAAGGCTGTGCATTTCTGGCACCATAACCACTACAGAGTAATTACGGTGTAGTGGTTATGGCATTTGGAGTGTCCCTTTAACAAAACTAATTTAAATGATTTTCATTTAAATATAATGCCCATTGGTAATGGGGCCAGGTTACACCGAGTGCAAGACAAACAAAGAAGATACTAACCTCCTGCATGTAGAACGGCCATAATAATGGAAGGAAACCAGGAAGTCTCTGTGTTCGAGGCCTGAAAGGAAGTCTGGAGGTCCGTATAGTACACTCCGATGCAGGAAGGAAATCCCAGTGTCATCCCATGCGTCATGATAACAGCAGCAAGCACCACCCATGACCACTTCCCATCAACGGTTTCCATAGTTCCAGCTTTTATTGATCTAGCAGTATATACCCTGCACAGGAAGAAGATATGTTCTTTGTATAGGTGATGTCTCAAGGTTAATTAAACAGACAATGACTTTACCTTCTCTTTAATTTATTAATTAATAATCTTGCCTGGGATATTAGTAACTACATGTGTTTGGATTTGACAAAAAAAAAAATAGGTAGGGTAATCTGTAAGACTGCTCAAACAAGTGACGGATGTGTTTAGAAATAGATCAAATCTTGATACATTTGGGAAGAAAAATAAACGTGCAAATCGATATATAATGGGATATTGCTAGGGAAATCATTAAATGAGAAAGATCCAGATATAATTATAGACAACGGACTTGTCAACAGTGTACAATGTCAGTCTGCAGCTACAAAGACTAGTCTATTGTTATCCTGTATTAAAAGTAATGGTTAAAACAGAATTTCATGTTTTACTAAATCAATGTAAAAGGAGCCGTTTTGCTCGATAACCACTGGTGACATTCTACGACAACACTACAAGTACAGGGAAAATGGCTGACTCGGTCTGTTCATTCCTTGTAGTCTCAACACAGATGCTGTAACATGCTAATACGAGGAGTACCTGAAAAAATATTCTGGTTTACCCCAACAGCGCAAGAACAAACCTCCACTTAGAAGGACCCTCCTATTGTGGCAGCCTGTGGAGTGACTTTCTCTGAATTCTATTTTTTAAGACTAATCTTTTGAGGTCCTCTTAGATAGGCAGTATATGGCTGTGAAAACAAAAATTCTGCAACCCCAAGATTTATGAAAAGCGGTTCCTAGGTAGTTCCATTGCAGTTCAGTTTATAGGCACTCTCTTTTTGATAGTTGACTCTGGCAACTTTTTTAAGGGACTCGGACTGTCTTTCAACTTCTATAATGAGTGAAGAAGACTGCCTGTCATAACATCTTTTGAAGCATAACCCTTGTCTTAATTTAATTTTATAGATAACTTTATTGTACTTGATAAAGAAAACACACCAGATTATTACAGATAGAAACGTAATTTGCTATGTTTTCAAGTCTATTTTCTTTAAAATGTCAAGGGAGGAACTGAAAAAAAGGGTGCGCCAAATTGCTCACAAAAATATTAAGCTGTACTGTGAAAATATATCCAAACTTTTAATTATAACTCTCATTAATATGACACATAAAAGGGCAATTCCCATTAATAAAAGCAAATGCAGAACTGTATTTCATGTGTGTCATATTAATGAGAGTTATAATTAAAAGTTAGAATATAGATTTACAATACAGCTTAATATTATTGTGAGTAATTTGGACCACCCTTTTTGCAGTTACTACCTTGGTTTTGTATTACTCAGTGTGGGTTGCTGCCGATTTATTTTTATCTTTTGTTAATTACCCACATACTCCGTTCTATTTTCTTTAAACCTGTACTACAACACAGTGGCATATTTCTAGCCTCTTTTTTCATTTATTTTTTACTTTTCTTGCATCACATACTACATGATCCACCAAGGCTTGTACCTACTTGTTTAAAACGGCAAAGTGGGTTTGGAATGCTTAATAAAAACATATGGCTAATACAAATGGTTATTTGGTGAGTAAAACGAATGATGGCCATTTTCTTGTGTGCAACATGAGCAGCAGTGTAGAGGAGTGAGGGTGTTTATTATACCACTGTTTTAAAGACAGAGGTGTATGTACTGAAAATAGCTCTTGCAGTAAGCACTGAAATTGCTCCCTTCACTGTCACTCTTCATACATTTGACACCCATCTTTTAGAACAGGTGCAGCAGCAAATAAAAAAAGTTAATTTAAACAAACTCCAGGGCCTGACGGTATTCACCCATGAGTGCTTAAGAAGTTAAGTGTGTAAATAAGTGATGAATCTAGATGTGGTTTCTGATAAAGGATTGAATGAAGCCAGATGTGGTTTCTATGTTCAAAAAGGTTTTAAAATGGAAGACCGGAGCGGGGCCGGGCCGCCGGGCCAATTGGATGCCATTAACATGAGCTCCTGCACTAAGCTGATAAAAAAGGCACTAAAACAATCGCCCCAGACCACCTAAATATACAATATTTCGCCAGATCCGAACAGAGAACGGCACCAGCTTATCCCCGATACCTGCACAATGCCCACGGCAAGCCAGGCAAGTAGAGAGGGCTGGGCCCGGCCTACACGAGGCAGAGCGCCAGAATACCAGCGGCCATTACAGGCAGCACAGTGCTGTGGAGCAGAGAATCGAGGCATCCCGCTATAGACACCTCGACAGGGGGAGATACTCGGCCCGGGGCACGGCCTTGCCCCCCCCTTTTGGCCGGCGGGTGATATCCTGGCTTCCAGGTGGAGGTACGGGCCCCACGTGGTTCGGATGCCGACCGCCTGCACTGGCACCGGCTGCATGAAACTCAGCCAGCCAGCAACATCAGAGGTGCCCGCGGAGGGGCTGAAACACCCAAGGAGGCACTCAGATCGGGAGCAAGAAGGCTTGGCCCCACACAGAGATAGCCCCATAACCGGCAAGAGCACTCCTTAAAGGCATCACTGCAACATCAGAGGGGTAAATGTGGAGAGCGCCAACTATTGAGGGCTGTACTGGACGGCCCGTGCAGACTTGGGCACAGCTAAGCGCTGGATAGATCCCCCGTGATGACTACCCGCCCGCTAGAGGAGTCGGTGCGCTAGCCCCTGGGTATGTGGGGTCCCCAGAGGGCCATGTCCCTGAAGCCGTGAGCCCGGTGGGGCAGGCCTGCACGGCCCTCCAAGCAAGTGGCCGGCACCGGGTGAGACAGCAGGTATCACTCTGAGTCCTGGATCTTGGGTGGTAATAGGGAGGTGCAGGGAGAGGGGGGCCCGTGGACTCTAGGTGTGGGAGTCGTATGGACAGCCCCTGCTCCCGAGTGCCCACAAAGCACCTGGAGACGGACTGGGGTTGTTGCGGGGAGGACAGACAGAGACTCAGCGGCCCAAGAACGGCAAGGCAGCTGTGAAATGAGCGGCCCTCAGTGAACTGATCTTAAGGACAAACCAGCCCCGTAACCGTTAAAGGCGTTAAAGTTCTCAATTAACTTTAACTGCTCCCCTTTGGGTTTGTTTTCATATTTTTAATTTTATTTTATTTTTCTCCACCTGTACTGCATAACTGCTTGTTTGAGTGTCGCTGGCATGTTTAGTTGGGCGAACCCTAACCGAGTAGTAAAATATGGAGCCCTTAGTTGATCCTAGCGAAAATTCTCCCGACGCATCAGCCTAGAATTAATCAGGCACTGTTGCACTGCACCCACGCTAGATTTAGTGAATTGACCCATGCTACCAGGCCAACATAACTCTCATAAGCCTCATAAGCTTAGGTATTGCTCAGATGAATATAAAGCCCACACAATGCGTTCTTATACCCGCTAAACACCCACGATATAACCAATCCCGCAACGTTTATGTACATTTATTTTACTTCATTACTTGTTTATTTAACTACGTATAAGGCTACACATGCTGAAAGTTTTGTCTTTGCACATTTTTTAAATTCATGATTGATGCGAACATTTTCTCACTCTGTCACATAGATACTATGTTTCAGTTGTCTAGTTCCAAGCAGAAATTGCACAAATTGTTTTGCTAAGAAATACTAAAATGCCCCTACAGGGGCTAAAGTTTATTTGTTAATTGCTTACGCAATAAGCTTTTTACGTCACTGCTTAATTGACATATACTTAAGTGACTCTTCACATCAACTTCAGAATGAATAGGCTATCCATTATAGTTTACCTAAATAATCAAGCAATCGCATTATACGACGTATACCAATATGCTTAAATCTAAACATAGAAATAACCGTGCTCATTGAGGCACATATATAGGCTATCAGCTCTGATGATTATGCACTCACTTCGTGGCATGCTTATTTTGTGATCAATTGGCCGCTGTCATAATGTTAATAGATAGGATATTTCATCGCATCGATACGCCTGCCTCATATAATACGATTACAATATATGATTACCGTACTGCATGCTTGATTGAATTTACTTAAATGCTTGTTTATTCTGACTTTTATGCCTCTGCGCAGGCAACCATATAGTACATCTATTTCCCTGTACTATGCCTGCTCATGCTTTTTTGTGACACCAATAAAAATATTCAAAACAAAATGAAATACCTGTGAGCTTAACATCTGTGGCTGGGAAAATATTTGAAGGGATATTATGGGGAGAACAATGTTATTAGCAAAAATCAGCAAGGTTTTATGAAACATAGGTCATGTCAAGCTAACTTAATTGCAAAGAAGTAAGTAGAAGTATAGAGTGTTGCAGTAGAAGTGATCTACTTGGATTATGTTCAAACTAAAAGAAATTGGTCTAGATGAAAATTCTTGTTCTTGGGTAGAACATTGGCTACAGAGAGTTGTCATTAATCGTACATTTTCAAGCTGGACAAAAGTGGTAAGTAATGTCCCTCTAGGTTTTGTTCTGCGACCGCTTCTGTTTAACATATTTATAAATGACCTTGAAATAGGAATTAAATGTTTCAGTGTTTGCAGATGACACAAAACACTGCAAAGTAACATACTGTGAGCAGGCTATCATTTACAGCAGAGGGATTAAACAGATTGGAGGACTGGGTACTCAAATGGCAGATTAAATTCAATGTATTAAGTGTGAAATACTCTGTGGCGATCCAGCAGGGACTAACTTTGCTTGTTGGACTAGCGGGGGTCTTGAGTCCATGATGGAGCAGCAGATGGAGACTTCAGTAATCACTCCCTCAGCAAGTCAGAGCACAAATTTGAAACATCCAGCATCTGCGCTCTGATTTATAGAGAGTACCGGATTACAAGAGAGCCATTAATGAGGTCTGCACCCACCAGAGGTGCAAACCTCATGATGCCAGCTTTCATCACCACACCAAGGCAGCTTTGCTGTTAACTTGCTGCCGGGCTACAAGATAAAAACAAACTGCCTTCCTGGCCACTGCTCAGTGGTGCCCCCTTCATTTCAGCCTGCTAAAGCACTTCATCTTGCTTTAGAGCAGGGTTCTCCGAACTCTGGTCATCCAGATGTTTCTGAACTACAACTCCCATGATTCTCTGCCATCTATTTCATTCAAAGAATCATGGAAGTTGTAGTTTAGCAACATCTGGAGAGGCAGGGTTTGGAGAACCCCCCTTTAGAGGTTATTTTGTGAAGTTGCAGAAATCAGCACTTTTATAAATTCACCTCTTCTTTTATGTTATTGGGAATAACTGAGAAACTCCCTCATTAACCTACACTTGAGGTCGTAAGAGAGGAGTTATCTGTCGACGGAATGTTTCATTTCACAATTATGTGCTCTGTGAGATGTGGTTATATTTGTATATATTTGCATATTGTGGTAATGCAGGCAGAGTACTTTGCTTTTTTAATCTTTGTTCCTCTAACTCTCTTTTTTCTTGTGACAGTAATATTTTCTTGTGTTGTTTTTTATAAATACAAAGCTCTTATAGGCTAGTTCCTGTTTAAAAATAAAGAATGTAACTCAAAGTTTCTTTGGAACTGTTGTTTATGTCTGGTTCTTTCAGGGATTCCAGTGGAAGAGTTTTAAAGAGACACTAAGTGCCAAAACCAATGCATCTTAATTGTTCTAGTTTTGGTGCTTAGACCCTGTTTGTCAGCCAGAATGCCTCTCGTGTCTGTCAATCAGATATCCACCACAGGCAGAGCCTTATGAAGTCTTTAAATAAATCAAAGTCACTACAGTGTTGGGTTGATTGTTTCTCTATGAGCGGTATGCGATTGGATGACCATGGCAATTGTTGTACATGTTCAGTATGTTCCCAATGGTCCTCAATGATAATCTTGGGGCTCCCAGTGTTAGTCTGGGCAATTGATAGGCTGTTATGGAGAAGGGAAGTAAGAGTTTATTGGCAGTCTCCAGTAATGACTAAGGACCAAACAGTAGTGTAGGCAGTGCATCATGACGTGGCCCAGTCAGTTGTTTCGGCTGCTACATTGTAGTCCATAACATCAAGTATATTTAGACCCATAGATGCTTAATTTGGAAAAGTTTGGTCAGACTGAGGTGAACATAAGTTTTTTGAGAGTTTTTTCATAAAAAATTGATAACAAAATAAAACAAAACAAAAAACTAAATCTTCAGGGTATACAAGAGTTTAGGAAATCAAATTCATTTATATGGATGTGTCCAACTATGAATGACAGAGGAAATATTCCAACAGTCAAAGTCTTGATAAATTGACTACAAGAGCAAAGATGTTTACTTCATATAGATGGGAAAGGTTTTTTGATATGAACACACCTAAATATTAGAATTTCGCAGGATTTTTAGGATTATCGAGAAATTCGTTGTTTTGACTTCAATAGCTGTAAAAGAGATGTGTGAATGTTTGTGCAAGTCTTTTTTCAAACTAGATTACAAACAGACATAAAACCATTATACAATTCCAACGCTAACAATAATGCACCTGCCGTGTAACAGCTTTCTCTAATGCTTGCCTATAAATGCAGGTGTCTGTCTTGTTAAAGTGGAGCTGTCAACAGTTGGTGACTGCTCTGTCTTCCTACATTACAGAAAAATGTCCCTGAAGCATTTACTGACAGGTTACAAGTTAAATAAAAATGTACAAAAGTTAACACTGACTGTAAATCTGAAAAGGTGTGTGTGTGTGTGTGTGTGTGTGTGTGTGTGTGTGTGTGTGTGTATATATATATATATATATATATATATATATATACACACACATACAGGAACAGATTTACTCTATCCTCTGCCCCGTGGCCATGCTTTTAGAAGAGCATTTCTGAACAAACACAGCACATAGATCTCATAGTCGGGCTTAAAGCGAGTGCAGATAGTACACATATCTGATAGAAAACAGATACCATTCTTACAGTGGGTCATAAATATTCTGTGTAGGATCACAGAGTGCAAATATAGTAATGTATAGACATACTCAAATATGTGTAGGCCTGTGTGTGTGTGCCCCTATCTATATATGTAGGTATATGTTTATGTAGGTATGCATAGATATATATATATATATATATATATATATATATATCCTATAGACCAGGGGTAGGCAACCTACGGCACTAGTGCCATGCATGGCACTCAAGGTGTCTTTGTACGGCACTCAGGGCTGCTAGAGCCAAACAGGCACTGGCCTATCAAGAGTCCCAGTGAAACTTCAGATATCTGCTAATACGAATTTATGCATTGCAGCACATAGAGTAAGTGATCTCAGATCACTTCCTCCCAGCACTTGTGAATGTGAATCCACACTGTAGTAGAGCAGCCTGTAGTTGCTGTTGCAGCTCCTGTCCTTGACCTGTACCTGGCCAGCCTGGAACCCAGGAAAGCCACCCACACTGCTAGATTAAAAAAATAGGACCGGCACGCTACGGGACATCACAATCCTATATCGGCACAGTGCTGCTAAAAGGTTGCCTACCCCTGCTATAGACTAAGCTCATTTGAGCAGGGCCCTCTTCAACCTATTGTTCCTGTAAGTTTTTGTAACTGTCTCATTTATTGTTAAATCTCCCCCTTTGATAATATTGTAAAGCGATACGGTCTATGCTGGCGCTATATAAATACCAGTAATAATAATAATAATAATGTATATATATATATATATATATATGTGTGTGTGTGTGTGGAGATTGTAGCCGTATTAGTCCAGTGATGCAGATGCAAAAAATAAATAAAATTGGTATCTTTTAATACCTTTTTTACTGGACTAACAGAATTTTGTAAATGACAAGCTTTCAGGAGAAGCTCCCTTTCTCAAGTCTAAAGCATTTCTGAGCAAAGACGACACGGAGAATTCAAATCTGAATATAAACAGTATCTCATAAAAGTGAGTACACCCCTCACATTTTTGTAAATATTTTATTATATCTTTTCATGTGACAACATTGAAGAAATGACACTCTGCTACAATGTAAAGTAGTAAGTGTACAGCCTGTATAACAATGTAAATGTGCTGTCCCCTCAAAATAACTCAACACACAGCCATTAATGTCTAAACTGATGCCAACAAAAGTGAGTACACCGCTAAGTCGAAATGTCTAAATTGGGCCCAATTAGCCATTTTCCCTCCCCAGTGTCATGTGACTCTTTAGTGTTGCAAGGTCTCATGTGTGAATGGGGAGCAGGTGTGTTAAATTTGGTGTTATCGTTCTCACACTGTCTCATACTGGTCACTGGAAGTTCAACATGGCACCTCATGGCTCAAAGAACTCTCTGAGGATCTAAAAAAAAAGATTTGTTGCTCTACATAAAGATGGCCTAGGTTATAAGAAGATTGCCAGGACCCTAAAACTGAGCTGCAGAATGGTGGGCAAGATCATACAGTGGTTTCACAGGACAGGCAGGGCCGGCGCTTCCTATAAGGCGCCTAATCTTACGTAAGAAATATGTGGATGCAGGCAATGTTTTTAAGGGGGGATTGGCAGCATTTGGTAACAAGACGGGATGTGTGGTGCAAAGGTGAGGCCAGAATCATAGATAACGCCAAGCGAGTGCGCTTGCAACGATGAGCTGATGCACATACCATCAACTTGAAGGGAGAGTGAAAAAGAGGAGTATTGGTATTATGAGGAGGAAAGATAAGAGGCTCAGTGTTAAAGATATTGAGTTTTAGAAAGTGTGAGGACATCCAATCACAGATGCAATTGGTGACACACTCTAGACCAGCAGGGGAGAAGAGATATAACTTGGTGTCATCAGCATACAGGTGGCAGCAGAATCCAAAGGAGTTAATACGTTTTCCAAGAGAAGCAGTGTCAAGAGAAACCAAAAGGGAGAGATAGGACAGGAACCATGAAAGGACAGTGTCACAGAGATCGAGGGAGTGTAGAATTTGCCGAAGGAGAGCATGATCAACAGACAGGAGAAGCATAGACGTCTAGACAAATTAGTATTGAGTATTTAGCCTCATTAGTTAAATCATTAGTTACTTTAATCAGAGTAGTCACCGTAGAACGAGGAGGACAGAAGCAAAATTCAAGGGGTCAGGGAAAGCGTTGATGTTGAGAATGCATGTTAAATGTTTGAAAACAAGTCGTTCTAGAAGCTTTGAGGAGAAAGGATTACGAGTATAGAAATTGAATGGTAGTTAGAAAGTAAAGACGGGTCAAGAGATGGCTTTTTAAGGATATGTGCAACAGTAGTATTTTTAAGGGAGTGGTGACAATGCACCACTGTACGCAAAGATGGGTTCCAAAAGGTGAATCGAGTGAACTTCAAATGAAGAGAAAGAAAGCGAAGGGGTGGCTAGAGGTTTGAAGGGGCAGTTGGGTGAAAGCAAAACCCCCTACCCCCACCACCCTTACTGTACATATATATATATATATATATATATGTATATACGTGAGCATATGTATATGTAAGTATATGTGTTTGTATGTGCACATAGGTATAGTATGTTGTCAGACATATTATGCCAGAAAATATGAATATCGTTCTATTACTCACACTGCAGGTCACACTTACAAAAAGTATATCACAGACATTTTTGTAGCTATTTAAAACCAAATAGTGGGGAAGAAAATCTGACATTGAGAAAAGTTGAGAAGACAAATTGTTCATTGACACCCAAATGCCTTATTAGATAATGGCCTAATTCAATTTACAACTTCGAAACACTTCGACCACTTTAACTAAGAAAGTAAACAAACAGATTTTATTGATTCTGGCAAACTATAAAGTTTAGTAGTTTAGCTGCCCAGTTAATTTGGTTTGCATACATTTGTGGAAATAGTTGGTTATTAGAGATTGTCTAAACAAGTCATTTATATTTTGTAGAAGCAGCAAATGTGGTTTCTGCTTCTTTATTGCATAAGATATTGTAATGTTATACCATGTCAGTTCATGGTCAAGAATATTAAATGTTAATTCAACATGTTATGTTGAGTTGTTGCATTGGTTGGTGATACATTCTTTGAGCCAGTAACTAAATTTCTCATTATCCAAATTTCATTTTCTACTCTGGAAATTATATTCTAACATCCTTGAAGCAATTTTCTTTGTTAAGTATTGTTTGATCATTGATTATGTTACTATCGTATAGATTGTTGTTGTCACAATAAATTATATTTTAAATCATATAGTATTGAATGTTATATAGTATTGAATTAAAAATTAGATAGAACTACAAGAATTTAGGGTCAGAGACATAAAAGAAGGTATCTCTTTAAATAAAAATTGTATGCATGTTTCTATAACCAATATTGCCACATTAATATCCATATTATTAATAATTAAGATTTTTAAATTTTACTAAAATTATGAATTTATTCATATTATTGAATATTTTCACAAAATAATATTTTTAATGTTTTGTCCCACAATTATCTCTCTGCAATGTATATGTATAGGTGTTTATGTATGGGTGTATGCCCAAATGTGCGTGTGTATATATATATATATATGTGTGTGTGTGTGTATATGAGTGTATTTATATGTATGAATGTATGCGTGCATATGTATATGTATGTAGGTATGAATATATGTTTGTTTGTTTATTTGTATATGTATGTGCTGGTTTTACATATACCTTCATGCATATTCTGGATTCTTTAATGTGAGTACATGCATTCTTACTCTGTGTATTTTTTTTTTAAACTCTCACCCTTCAAAAATGTATTTTTTTTTGGGGGGGGGGAGAGGTAAGGGGGGTTGTTTGTTTTTTCTATCAGACCTGTGTTATCTGAACTCATGAGGCTTTACGCCCTGTACCACAACTTAACCTTTAGTTCTGTGTGTTGTTTTTGCTCAGACGTGCTTGAGAAATTGAGGATCTCTCAAAAAAATATAGTCATTCCCAAATACAAAGGGTATTATGAGATACTAATTTCAACTGTTAATTTTCATCTGAATCACTGGACTAATACAGCTACAATCGCGACTCCAGCACTGTATATTAGGGATCGACCGATTACCGTTCTGAACAATATTATCGGGCAATATTCACCATTTAAAGCAATATCGGTAACTGCCTATAATGATACTGATATTTGGCGATAATGCCTGCGGCAGCCGGGAAACTGTGCATGCCTCTTCAGCGCCTCTCTCCTACTCTCAAGAGTAACACACCAGGCTTTTGAGAGATGGAGAGAGGTCCTGATGGAAACAAAAGATAGTGTGCACAGGGTCCCGGCTGCCGCAGGCATTATCGGCAATATCGGTATCATTATAGGCCCATCTACAATGTGAGTACTACACAAGTAACTAATAATACGGGCAGGGAGAGTGGATAAAAAAAAAAACTGGACCACCAGGGAGTGTAGCGTATCCCTCCCTGGCCACAGGTAAAAGGCAGGAAGGGGGAATAAAAAGCCACTATACCAACATGGAGTGTAATGCCCCCCTCCCTGGCCACAGGTAAAAGGCAGAGAGCGGGGAAGAATATTGGCAACAGTTATCGGTTATCGGCCTGAAAGGTCACCGAATATCAATATTGGTCGATCCCTACTGTCCTTTATTTGTGTCCTTGTCTCTTGTTCTTTCTATCTCAATCTTTCACCTTTTCTCACAATTTCTTTTAACACTGCCTTATAGAAACATAGAATGTGACGGCAGATAAGAACCATTCGGCCCATCTAGTCTGCCCAATTTTCTAAATACTTTCATTAGTCCCTAGTCTTATCTTATAGTTAGGATAGCCTTATGCCTATCCCACGCATGCTTAAACTCCTCTACTGTGTTAACCTCTACCACTTCAGCTGGAAGGCTTTTCCATGCATCCACTACCCTCTCAGTAAAGTAATACTTCCTGATATTATTTTTAAACCTTTGCCCTCTAATTTAAGACTATGTCCTCTTGTTGTGGTAGTTTTTCTTCTTTTAAATATAGTCTCCTCCTTTACTGTGTTGATTCCCTTTATATATTTAAATGTTTCTATCATATCCCCCCTGTCTCGTCTTTCCTCCAAGCTATACTTCTTTTTACACCTTTCTTCTCCTCTCTCCCTCCGCTTAATTCCTTTGTCGCAAAATCTTTTGTGTTTTCTCCCTCCTTCTTCCTTAATCCCCCATGTTTGCTCCTCTGTTATCCTTGTAACCCTCCTTCCTTTATTTGTCACAGAACGGAACAAATGTTACTAACAGACACAATCCAATGAAGAAGGGGTCAATAACAACAACAAAAAAACAAATACGTTAATTCTACCTCTAATGTTTCAGCTCTAAATAAGCTTCATCAGGAGTTACAGATAAGCATTGCAAAAAATAAACAGAATTTATCAGGTGCACTTCATTGATTATTGATTTTTTAATTTTATACTTTGTATGAGGAATACACATTTTGACAGACATAGATCCCATTATCTAACATGAAATTATCAGGTATGTGTTTGTATGTGTGCATAAGTATAGATGTATGTTGTCAGACACATTATGCCAGAAAATGTGAATATTGTTCTATTACTCACACTTAAAAAAAAATGATATCACAGACATTTTTGTAGCTATTTAAAACCAAATAGTGGAGATAAAGTTTTCCATTCACTCACAACTCGATGTTTAGTGAATAATCCCCAAGGCAGAGTCATAACAAGTCTCTGGCTACCTGCTGATAGGTACAGATCGCATATTTAATCCCAGAAAGATAATCTTCTAAAACAGTTAATGATCACCTAACGTCAGGGGTGCAATCACTCAGTAACAGTCTGACCCACTCTCCCTCCCAAGTACTTACCAATTGTTATACTAATTCGTTTCCTTGTCTTTGTTGCATCTCCTGGGCACAGAGCTGGGCAGATACTGCTGGCTGTTTCCTCTCTCGATCTACCTGCCTGTTTAGTGGAAACTCTTTTCCACCCTCCCCAGGACACGCCTGCAGGTGTTCAACCAATCCCTCCCCTTTCACCTGCATTATGCCTTGATCTGGGTAACAGTGACACAGCAACACTCCATGCCAGGGGATGGAGTGAATGGCATCAGATATGGACGTACTAACAGGTCATGAGACCTTTCGCCCAATTTTCTTTTTGGAGAGAGCATCTCTAGATACTGTCGCAACATGGATTTTATGCTGGTACACGCAGGTGATGACTTCCAGAGATCAGCTAGTAGTTTCTTTGCCTGTGATTACCCAAATTAATGTTACATAGGTATCATAATATTCCATGGAACTCTTGGGGATGAATACAGGGTTCTGAGCAGATCTCAATGAAGAAAAGGGGGAATTAACACTGGATGTTGTCTGGGCAGATTTAGAGAAGTGGAAACAAAATATGCATGGCAGGAGCTAGTGAGAGACTGTATTTAGAAGCTCATTTGGCACATACCATCCTGCTAGTGGCAGCATTGTCATAGTGACTGTGTCATGTTAACCCAAACAAACATTACAGAGCAGTTATGCAAGTGTAGCCACACCAGCAGCAAGCCTAATAATAATGATGCCCTTATCTGGGAACTTGCTATCTGTGGAAACTAAAGAAGTGCTGATTCATTACTACACAGCTTAGGGCACTGTCACTGGTTAAATATCACTTGCATCGACCTTTCTTACTGAATTAACACACCATGCAGCAGTCAGTGAAAATTACTATCAAATCCCTCACTGCTTCCTCCTTTAAAGGCTGTTGTGAGTCATACAAAAAAAAAAAGAAGAAGAAGTCAAGCCCTTTTTTTACAGTTTGATCTCCTACCTGGGGTTCCCCCCAGCACCACTCCTCAACTCTAATACCATTGATACTTCCTAATCAGCAACTTCTGTTTGATATCCTGAACTAAGCCCTGATCGCTCTCAGAAAATAATTTTGTAGGGTTTATAGTAGTGGAGCCAGGGAGCAGGGCCCGTCACAACCCAGGTAAGAAGTCAAACCACTCAAAAAATGTTTTGCCTCCTTACAATGAGCGGATGCCAGACATTCCTGGCACCATAACCACTACAGCAATCTATGCAGAGTCATGTAAGCCCAATAGCAAAGCATTTTACATGCTTTCCTATTGGGGAAATATAATGAGAGCGCGGCCATTGCCGCGTATGCACATTAGGTCTTCCTTCTTTTTTCCTGGCCCTATAGTTTAATACATATGTACACAAATATAGTGTCACACACATCACCAATCAATACTTAACTTGTAATTTTTGTGTCTAAATAGCTTCTCCAGGAAATCTCCCAGTAGTTTTCTTTAAATGCTATATATAACCAGTAGTATGGGGAGACAGCTATAAACAGAAGAGAAATATGCAATAGTGTAAAGTAATTTTAACCACTATAACCTGCATCAAAATTGCACTCACGAGAGGTATAGGTATATCAGTTAGAGGTGTCTCCCCCGAAATATGAAGGGTTAACATTCGCTGTCCGTCTGGATGCCTTTCGGTTTAGAGATTTTTAGAAAACGGAAAGAAGCCTGGAGATTCGACACTTGAACAAAGACTTTGGGGTTAAACTGTTCTCAAATGCTTTAACCCTGTAAAGTAAGCCAGCGTTAGGGACCTCCTGGCACAATAACAAACTTAATTCTGATAAAGTTGTTATGGTGCCTAAACTGTAAAAGAACACTCCAATCAGAAGTGCCCTGGTGCCCAGCCAAAGTACGTAATGAAACTGTTTTAGAACAGTTTGATTTCTTACCCGGGTTTCACCAGGCACCCATCCGTGCCAGAAGCTCTCTAGCTAAACTCAACTTGGTGATGCAGAATTTAACTTATCGGCTGAGAGTGATCTGTTGATGCTATCAGTGAATAAGCTGGCCCTGCACCACAAGGCTTAGCCAGAAGAGCTAACGGAAGCTCCAAGCAGGAGCTTCTGGCTTTCCTGGAGTCTGAGAGGAGGCAGGGAGCAGCATCAAATGGGCCTGATGTAAGAAGTGAAACAGTTTCTAAATGGGGGAGGGAGGAACCAGGACACTACTGGTACCATAACCACTACACTGTAGTAGTTATTGTTCTTAGAGTGTTGGTTTTTTTTTTAAAGCCTGGATGCTGCTTACAGTATCTTTCTCATTCCTAAATCCTTTCTGCCTCACCAGCTGCCTCACCTTGCTAATTGGTTTGCAAGATCTTTAATCATGTAAACCATGTTTTTCTTCAGATTAGTTTATAAGTATAATACCTGTGTGCTTTCCATTCCTTGCTGAGGGTGTATACCTCAAATGCACCCTCAGATTGAAAACTCTAAAAGGCAGGAGTATCCTCAAATAAAGACATGTTTTACATTCTCTAATGTCTACAAAACCTCTGCAATCATTGTATCCCTTCCAGCTGTAACTTGTGAAATGTTAAATACACCTATTAATATTATATACATTTATACTACAAGGCCGTTGAATGCTTCAATCTGATTGGTTGACGAACGTTCTAAGGTGTGCATTATTTTCAGGGAGACGCACGGCTAAAGTAGTTCCAGACAGGTCTTGACCGCATTGCAGTTGAGCAAAAAATTAGTCCTACATACAAGAGCGTGTTAATGACAAAAACTTGACAAACGCCTTGAAATACATCATCTGAACAATGTTTCGAGGTGTGGTAACTGTAGCATAAGCGGAATAATTGACTCCAGGCCGTTGAATTATCAGAAAAATAATGCACACCCGAGGTGTAATGGCCACTCCACTTCGCGTCATGACCGCATTACCACCTCGGGTGTGAATTATTTTTCTGATAATTCAAGGGCCTGTCATCAATTATTCCTTACATAATAAACATACAAAATATAAATGAGGCCAAGTTTGTAATTCAAAACTTTTAAGCTTCACGTTAAGCCACAGGGTATTATTTTTTTGTAAAATAAGACTGGGTAGACATGGATCTCCCATACATTACCAAGAGATCGCTGTTGGTCTACCATCAGACCGAGGGGTTCTAGCCCTCTAAGAACTGAAAATCAAAACGAAAAATGTGGTGATACATAAAACTTAACTTTTTGATGATGATATATATATAAATATTTATTTATTTTTTCTAAGAATCTCACGGATAAAATATATTTTTTTTAAAGAGTATTTGAGATAGGGTAGTCATGTGAGACCCTAAGATATAAGAGAAAACATGAGATAGGTGATGGATAGAGAGGAGATTAAGCAAAAAGAAGTATGGACAGAAAAAGATAATATTGCCCATGTTTTGTAATGAAATATTTACTGCATGTCCTGGAATGTTAGGAAAATATAATAAAATAACAGTGTTTTCTTCTAAACATGTAGAAACAACTCATAATATATATATTTTTAATTATATCTTTTCAACAAACTTTTTGCTGTAACAGTAACCTCATTAGGAAACACATGACTGGAGGCCAGAATTAACCGCTGTTAACCTTTAGCCTTGAGGCAGGTACAAATAAATGGCCTCTTGTAGCTCACACTAATCTCTGTGTGGATGGTGTCACTTACATGGATCATGCAATGTATGGATCTGACAGATAGAGGCTGCAGTAGTTCTGGGACATGATATAAAGATGTGACATCATATATCCCTCAAACATCCATCAGTGTGATCTACACAGTATGGTGGAGAGAGAGATCTGTGCAATGTTTAATGACACAGACTCTGATTGTGCAACTTTATTGCAATGGCAACCTGCTTGTGTAATGAATGCCATGAGCACTATCTAATCTCACACTGTGGTCACTTGCATAACACCTTCATAATCCGGTAGCATTTTCATCCCAAGGTAATGCATTCTGTCAGGAATATTCCAGTGGGACATTTCAGGATGTGGTGATGAGATTGGAGGCATACATCTGCATGGTGCTGAGCTGACAAAGCTCCTGTCCAAATCCTGCCTGCTGTCTCGTACTGTGCCAAAAAACAACCTAACACACATCTTGCCATTTTAATTCATAGAAGAATGCTGTAGGCCATAGCTCAAAACATTGTCACTTTGCCGCCACCCTTTTCCAGACCTTCCATTCCCAAGAAATATATAAATTGTGAGTGGATATTTCAGAATTATGATCTGCCATTCAAAATTCCATTAATACAGAGCTTGGCAAATTTTCGTGAAATCTAGGAGCCACTGAAAAAGAGCCTGGATTATTCAACTAACAAAGCTTAGTTTTCAGCGACAAAAATACGATTCTTAAATGGACACTATAGTCTCCAGAACCACTACAGCTTAATGTAGTGGTTCTCGTGTCTATAGTCTGTCCCTTTAGGCTTCTCAATTTCGGAGAAAAGCCAGTGTTTACATTGCTTGAAGTTAAGGGTTGAGATTTGTAATAAATCTCAGTAATAGAGTATATAGTATTGCTTGAATGAACCACTCAACTGGAAAAAAAAAAGGGACTCCACTAAAAATCCCTAATGGTGCAAATAAAAGAAAAATATTAGAAAAAATCTAATATGAATCCAGGAGTAGTAAGTGGTATATACCTTTAAATATTTACTGTTTGTACCGCAAAATAGAGAAAACAACATGTAGCTTCCTAGCATTAAATGGTTAAAACTTATTGAAAAAGTAGTATGGTGATATAGTGAAATCTATAGACAAACATACAAATGAAAATGACAATAAATGTGACTGATCCAAATAGGATAATGTTGTCTCTAGATAAATACACTTGTATCAGTAGAGCTTTTGCAACAATAAAATAGCAACAGTCAATTAATATGTTAGCTGTTTCAGTTTCCTCCAGTTATGGTTAAACTGGGATATTGTCTACGTTAGACCTTGGATCCAGTTATAGCTAAGGGCAGTACTTTATATTCAACCTATGTAAAACAACTATTTAAACCTTGGGACTTGCCGTTGGTCCTAACAGCTCTTACTAAAGCCCCTTTTGAACCCCTTCAAGAGATCCAGGAGTTATTCTTAACTTTGAAGACTGTTTTTTGTATTTTTGGAAACCATTGCTTATACAACACACACTTTGTCATGTGAGGAACCTTACCCATTCTAACATAAAGACAAAGCCATTCTTTGTCCTGAACCAGAATGTCTGCCCATGGTTGTATCTTGTTTTTACATCCTTCGAGATTTTTGTCTTCCTTCATTTTTTGCCTCCCCTACTTCCCCTGAAGAGGAAACACAATGTTAGAAGGTGTCTCCAAATTTATTTAGAATGATTTAAAGTCTATCATAAACCTTCTAAGCTGTTTGTTATTCCTGTGAGCTCTATGAAGGGTGAAGTAGTTTCCAAACCTACCTTAACACACTGGATTTATCTTGCCATCTCAAAGTCCTACACTCCTCAAGGAAAAGTTACTCTACCAGAGGGATGGCTGCATCCTGGGCTTCAGCTACGGAGGTTCCACTGGAGTAGGTTTGTACTGTACGGCAACTACCTGGCCTTCTCCTTTGACTTATATCAGTCATTATAAATTGGACGTGGCAAGTTCTTTTGGGAAAGTCATTCTCATGGTTGTAACTTCTAATAAATAATTGAGCAGTGAGTGTGTGTGTCCCTCCCTTCTGATTTGTCTTGGGAATTACCCATAAGTGATGATTTCATGGTTATCCAGGAAAGTAGAAAATTACAATAAGTATAATAAAAATATTTTACTATTGTCTGCTTAGCCAGGATGGATCTAACAATAAAGCATAAAGTGTACTGACAAAATTTATAGGGAATGTATACTTTATAATTCTTGCCACCACTTGGATATATATTGTTGGTCTTTTACATCACAGGATTTTAATGGTTGCTGCAGATTTAAAAATTTGTTTGTGAATTTGCACTAAATAATACAGCACATAACTATAGCACTGCTAGTGTTACGTTTTAAATATAATATTGCACAGGTATATAACTTTTTTCCAACTCTTATGTTGGGGAATGGAGTATGGCAGTCTCTGGTCTGCACCACCACCAGGGTAGCTGTATTCTGACCTCTGCTAACATTATGATACTGCTATATATGCTGGAATTATCGAGAAAGTTATTCATGTGGAGGTGCGTACCCAGTAGAGTTGCAGACCAAATAGTCAGCTCCACAGGACCACCAGGGATCAGAATGTTCCCCATTCCTTCAAAGTAACAAGTGGACGAGGGGAGTGAATATCTTTAAATACATAGTGCAACCCCTGTATACAAAATGCACCTCCAATACACACATATACACTACACACTCTATACGAGGGTTAGGCAGCCTTTGGAACTCTAAATGTTGTCTGTTACATCTCCTAAAATGCTCTTATAGCAGGGCTTGACAAATTCGCTTTGAATCTAGGAGCCAGCTAAAAAAGTTAGGAGCCAGTTTGTTTTTTAAACCAACAAAGCTTTATTTTTAACGATAAAAATAAAATTCTTAAAAGAGACACTATGGTCACCAGAACTACTACAGCTTAATGAACTGGTTCTGGTGACTATATCCTGTCCATGCAGGTTTTCAATGTAAACACTGCCTTTTTCACTAAAGTGTGCAGCACATACATTCAGCGTCTTCAGGTGCTGTGCTGAATGCTGCACATAAAGATGAATTAATTCAATGCATCTCTATGAGGAGAAACTTAATGGCGCAGCACAGAATTTTGCAGCACATGTGTAATAGCCTATGGGAAAGCATTGGATTGGCTGAGATCATCAATCTTGATCATCTCAGCCAATAGAAATAATGTGAGTAAAAACACTTTCCCCATGCAATCAGAGGAGGGCTAGTCACCTAAACAGAAACACTCACTGACATACAGAAACACACCCACACCCACTGACAGATGCATCCGTTCAAATTATTATTATTTGTTTTCTTTTAATTTACGTCCACCCGGCTTCCCCATCTTTGGGAGAGCTGCAGTGGATCCTTTCCCTGGGGTCCAGTGTGGCTGCTGTAACATTCTTGCTCCTCTTACCTTGCTCCCTGGCCTGCCTCCAGCCTTTAGGACCATGCCATGTTCTAGCCTTGTTTTGACTGTTTTCAGCTGATTTTCACTGTTTTATTTGGTAACTGGGTGATTTTTTTGTTATCTAGGACCATCCCTTATGCTGACATTTAGAACCAATTAGGGTAATGAATATTACTGGTAATTTTGCATATTTTGTGGATATTTAAGTCTTTGTTCAAAGCTCAGAGCTCACTCTTCAATATTGAATGATTTTACTTTGGATGAGTCAGATTGAAATATAAATAAACAGATCAGTCTTTAAAGAGTTAACCTTTTTGCAAACCTATCTGGATTGCACTCACACCACACAAACACACTCTCCAGTCCCTGGATACCCATATTCTACATCTCCTACCAACACACACACATACACACTTTACAGACCTAGACAAACACACATAATCTCTACAGCCCTTAGACATGCACACACATGCTACAGCCCCTAGTCACACACAGCACCCCACAAACAGACAACTTTGCACACACTACACCAGAAACAGCCCCCACTATAAACAAACAAGCAGCCTCCAAATGCATACAACACGAGAGGTACATGCACAACACTCTTTACTAGCCCACCAGCAAACGCAGTGCAAGTGTGCAATTACATTTGCCTGATTCTTTTTTTTAATGGGGGAGCGGAGCAGACAGCAACAGTTATACCATCCAGAAAAAGTGTTTTATTGAGCAATTCAATTAATAGAGAACCTGGCCATATTTGGGGGGTTCTGGGTGCTAGACAGCATGCTCATGACATCTGTGTGAAAGAACTGGGCTGAAGTGTGTGAAGCAGAGGAAGGAAACTTTGTCTGTTTAGTGAAAAATCCTTGCACCAGGATGGGAACCATTGATCTCCAATTGCCTGGGGGGTGGGCTGTGACTTGTTAGTGCTCCCCTGTGGTGAGATGGAAGACTCTCAGTTTATATCAAACTGTTCTTAAACGGTCTGATTCCATTTAAAGGTTTTTTTTTTTAAATCCTTTTGTTGTTTCTTTGAATGGGGCAATAATGCTAAACATTGTTTCACTGGGAAAAGAAAAGAATTGCGAGTTCAGAGCAGCATTTAATTGAGACACTGGGTTACTCTATACCCTACAATATCATTGGAAACACAAATTGATTTGTTCCCAATGCAGTACGCTTGTTTTCTTTTGATGCTTATGGGCATTAATAAAAAAAAAAAAATGCATTTTGAAAAATATTTGTAGCGTTTAATGTCCCCTTAAGCTTCAGAAGAATGCAGCAAATATTTGAGAAGACAGTAATTACCTGGAGGTCTCAGATTATTTATATAGAAAATAGATTAGATAAACATTTATCCGTTGAGCTTGCCCTATATTGTACTTTATTAACACATATAATTTGTTTATAATAATATTATATTTAATAAATGTATATTAACAAATTATGACTAGCCATGTGGTTTATCCCCTTAACGGCCAATGCTACCTTTTGCCAAAATGGAGCAATATTTTTGAGCAGGGTCCTCATCAACTTATTGTTCCTATAACATTTTGTAACTGTCTTATGTATTGTTAAATTTCCCCCTTTTGTAATGTAGTAAAGCACTGTGGAATAAGTTAGCGCTATATAAATGCCAATAATGATAATAATAACTGTTATATCCCTACTTTATTCCAGTAGTTTTCAACCCAGTCTTCAAAGTACATCAGCTGTCTAGGTTTTACCCATATCTCCATTGGCACAGAACAGGAAAAATGTCTAAATCAGGAATTTATGACCTACCTTGAACACTGGTTTGGAAAACACTGTTCTATGTGACATATCCACTTTATTGTTGCTCATTGTAGTATTTATGGTGCCATGAGTCTATGGACACCTTTCCCGTTACTTTGATAAATAATTTTGGAGTGGATGACACATAAGCTCATTAAAGATGCTCCACCTAATTTATTCTTATTTTGTTACCATATTATCATTTGTAACTACAGCATTGTTACCATTTATACCTGTAGTTATAAGGACATAAAATACCAAACACTGGGTACATCAGCCATCACAAAGTGTGCAATTGTCGCAACATATCCTGATGTATACCTTTAATATTACTGGAAAATAGTTTACTTGCCAAACTCTATTAAAAATTCCTTTAAAAAAACAATTAAAAGCAATAAGACGCACAGATGAATTTAATGTTATCTAACCAAGTTATCGCAATATTAGCTGTAATAACATTACAGATCTGTGAGTTTTTCACTGTGGAGTCAGCTATTTTAGAATTATATCACAATTTTCATACCCTTAGTTCACGTGACTAATTCACCACATTCTTATAGTTATGAAAAAAATTGTTATATAATAAATTGCATTTTATCATATTACTAGTCTACTTTTTAATAGGTGGGCCAACCACTGAGTTTGGTTTCTACTTAAAGGGTAAATGTCTCTAAAAGTGAAACCATCCTTTACTCCAATAAATGCTACTGATGAGTATACTGGGGTGATGGATAAGAAGTAGATTAAAGGGATACTGTAGTGCCAGGAATACAATGCTGTATTCCTGGTACTACCGCTCCCCCTGCCTCCCCCCTCCCTAGAAAATAAAGGTTTAAAACCCTTACCTTTTCCCAGCGCTGATGTCCCTCAGAGCTGGGGCGACGCTCTGCCCCCTTTTCAGTCCTGTGACGAGCAAGGTCTAATGCGCATGCTGCAATCGCATTAGACCTACCAATAGAAAGCATTGATTCAATGCTTTCCAATGGGGAAAAATCTGACCCTGGAGGTCCTCATACAGAGCGTGAGCAATTCCAGCGTCAGTTACCGGACTAAAGGTCTGTTTCAATTCAGGAAGTGCCCCTAGTGGCTGTGCAAAAGTGACAGTGCACCCAGGCCACAAAATGTCCCTTTTAACATACACTCTGCAGCACTTTAGCATACTGCTAATTTTATGGTTCCTGCATGGACATCTGCAAGGAACATATGTCCACTGGGGTATTTCCATAACGCCGTGTTTTTGCCTGTGACCTTTATCTTTCTGTTAGCTAATGGGTTGCTCCAAAATTGAACAAATGACAGTCCCATTGTAAGGTACTAAAAGTCTGTAATTCAATGATATCTCAACAAAGTAATCACATACATCAGAAAAGCTTTATCTCAGAGGGAAGGAAACTTAAGAGCTATTATTATCCTCTTTATGGGCCCTAAAAAAACACAAGAGCAATTTAGTTCAGGAAGAGACTGCTACTTTTCTAGCAGAATGAAAAGAACAAAATGCTTTTAACTGTCTATTTACTGTTGGATCATGTCATTAGAATGTTGACTGTCTGATATGATATACACCGGAATCCTGTAGCCTAATGAATGGATTGCAGCAATCATTTCTGCTGAAATTGATGAAACTGTGTACCTACATATGCGTTCAACCTCCCTATCACTGGTTTATTTTTACCACCTCTCATATATTTGCAGTTTACCTCTCTGCAAGTCTTTTTTTTTCTCTTCAATGTGTGTCACTTTCATTTATTTATTTGTTATTTATATTCTTTATTCATCTTTAAACGACATACAATTTACCGTTCAAGTAGCATTATTATATATAAAATGTTTGCATACGGATAATTATAGTTTAACTACACACACAACTATCCAACATATATATAATGTTCACCAATCCTAATGCATATCAAGTACACACAGCACATCAAAAACATAAATATTCCCTTACTCCTGATCTTTCCTACTTTGTCTGATTTCGTATCGTGTTTTTTTTTCGCTTCTCCGTCTCATACACTTCTTCCAGTTTGTTTTAAATTTTATCCTTATCACTATCACTGTTCTTGGTCTATTCTCCTCTGACTGCAATGTCTCATTGGGAATTTTATAACATGACAGGAGGCTTCATATTTGCTTAAGTCTCCCTTTACTAGAACTCCACAGCAGCACATTAACATAGAGAGAAACAACCAATCAGAAAAAAGGTAGATACAATAAAACTCCCCTCCCCACACATAACCTCCTCTTTCTTTGCTGTTCCACATAAGTACAGGTCAGAGTACCACTGCCTCCTGCTTTTAGTGAGTTGCTGTGGGATTTTATATTACTGATCTCTTGTACTTTTATTGATTAATACTTATTGGCATAGTTTGCCGATAGTTGCCTATAATTCTTATGCACTTTCTGGTCACTATTTCTATTCTTGTTTACCCTCTTTTTCTCCCTCCTACCCCTGGTGCTGCAGGGGACTTACTGTAGAGGAGTGCTGTGCTGTTCATTAGGCAGCTGTCTATGGATTCACTGCCTCCGTTATTCCTTGGTTTAACCCTCTCATTACTACCCCTGCAGGGGTACACTGTACTAAATAAAAATTTTACACTATATACACGGTGACTTTTTACTCCTGTCACTATGCATATTATATTTCTTTTTGTTTTCATCATCTATATTTATGTATATTTAGTTATAATTTTCTGTCTGCCTTAACTTGTTATTTATTTAATTCTTTCCTTTCATTATACTTTTCCCTCTCATGTCTACATACTTAACTTTATTTCAGCCGTATTTTGCTTTTCTGTATTATTTTGTTTCTTTGATGCTTTGTTTTGGAACCTTGTTTTCCCCTGCTCGGGACTTCGAGAGGCCTCACCTCTGGCCTCCTCCGATTTCCCGGGTTCTCGACGACCGCGGAGAACGTCTCCAGCATTTTCCTCAGGAAGCCGGCTGCCATCTTGGATCACGCGCACTGGCGCGAGATCCCGGCAGCCATTGTTTTTTCTGTTCTTAGACTACGAGTTTATTCGACTCGTGATACTGCTTCTCTATTAGAGGGTGACCCTCTCATAAATACAACCCTATCCTGTTTTCATACCGACGCCGGTCAGTTTTTTTGTTTACCTTACATCTTAGGTCAGTACACGATACCGGCTTCATTATTAGAGGGAGAGCCCCCATCAAAGCTCAGCCCAATGCTGATAGTTAGACTGCTTCATATCAGTTTATCTGTTTACCCTACAGTTTATGTCAATACATGATTCAGATTTTTCATTAGTAGAGGGTGAGCCCCTTTCATTCTCTCAGCCCTACACTGATATGGATACTAATTTCATTATTAGAGAGTGAGCAGTATTGATATTTATTCTGCCTCCTGTCAGTTCTCTGTTTTGACTACAATCTATTAAAGTATATATTACCGATTTCTTTATTGTACGGTGAGCCCCCTCCCATTTACAGACCAATACGGGTAGTTTTCTGCTTCCTGACAGGTTATTTGTTTTGTTACAGTTTATCACAGTACATAATACTGGAGGGTGAGCCCCTCTCATGAAGACTGCCTCATATCAACTGGGGAGTTGGGGGCGAGCCCCTACATTACATATTACAACTCATCTCATTATATTTTATTATTTTTATTATTATATATGGACTTCTGGAGGGAGCCCCCTGATTTCTAAGAGTGCCCTAGCTTATGCTATCTACTACTATTACTGAAATGTATTCTGGACAAATATTACTGGGTGAGCCCCAGTTATTACAGATATGTATATAATTTACCCTAGCGGATGCTGTCTGCTACTATACGGGCCTATATTCTATTTTACCGGGGGTGACCCCCCCATCATATTATTACATATCTTGATATGCCTTACCTGGTTTTGGCTATTGGATCTGACTGGCACTGTTACAGCTCCTATGATTGGCCTGCTTTGTCTGTGCCACTTTACCTCCCTACTGGATATTCTCCTGGAGGTTTTATTATTACTGGGTGAGCCACAGTTATTGGGGATATGTATATTATTTACCCTAGCGCATGCTGTCTGCTACTATTACTGGCCTATTTTTCTATACTATATTACTGGGGGTGAGCCCCCCCATCATATTATTACACATTCTGGTACTTTACATTGCCTGGTATTGGCTATTTCATCTGGCTGTCACTGTTACAGCCCTATGATTGTCCTGCTTTGTCTGTGCCACTGTACCTCCCTACTGGATATCCTCGTGGAGGTTGTATTATTACTGGGTGAGCCCCAGTTACTAAAGATATGTATATCCTTTACTCTAGCGCATGCTGTCTGCTACTATTACTGGCCTATTTTATATACCATATTACTGGGGGTGAGCCCCCATCATATTATTACAGATCCTGGTACCTTACCTTGCCTGATATTGGCTATTTGAGCTGGCTGTCATTGTTACAGCCCTATGAGTGGCCTGTTTTGTCTGTGCCAATGTACCTCCCTACTGAATATGCTCCTGGAGATTTTATTATTACTGGGTGAGCCCCAGTTATATATATTATTTTATAATCTGCATGGCATTGAGCAGACTATCACGCAAGGCTTTTATTTACGCCAATATGGACAACCCCTCAGGCATTTTCTCCTATCGGATGCCTCCAAATACAGACATACACAATCCCACAAGCACTACAGGGGAAGACCCACTACTCCATGTCGGAAAGTGCATGACATGCACCAAGCGCGTGAAAAGACCACAGTCTCTGGTCAGCTCTACAGTTCCTACCCAGTATCTATTTGGGATAAATGGCAGGATGAACGCTAAACCTCTGAGGATGAGGATAGATGACCAGGCTTGGAGGTGGAGGACTCTCTGTTTGTACCCGAATCATTCATGAAAGCTTCCCTTGATTTCTCCTGCGCAACCACCTACGTCAGGTCCAAACGGTGACATCTGCTTGGATTCGATGGGGAAAAAACCTCTCTTCGACCCGCATTCTATTCGTCACCCTTAGTCACCCGAAAGCTGGCTCCGGATCATTTGGCCCAGTATGTACATTACTGGACTCGTAGATCCCTAGACCAGGAATTGCAAGATTCGGACAGAATGCCCAGACCATCTCTTCCTGATAAGGTCACAATGAACCCAAAGTGCGACATAGGGACCTGACCCTTGCAGGGGTATTGATCGCAGCCTGAGACTGGCTCAAATCAAGTTATTCGACATTCTCGAAAGCCAGGCGAATTTCCCGCTTCTAGCAGGTGAAGCCCGTATGCAAAGCTGCCCTCTGGAACCGTGTTTATTAAGACTGAGCTTTTCCTCCTATAGGCCTACTAGACAACGCTAGATACCAATATGCACTGAACAAAGGTGGGTGGCGTTCCTTCATATATATGCCGGGATTGCAGTCCCTGAATTATGAACGGGGTCCCTTGGCCTAGGACCTAGGCTTTGGAGAAACATTATTAAAGAATTCACAAACACATGTACTTACACACCTCACTCAATAAAGCCCACTCTTCAGTGTGCCGAGCATTTAAATCAGATTCCATCTCGGTTTTTCCGGCAGGGCTGAACGACAACGTGGTCATTACTACAGCCATTTTGAACTATTCCATTCCATCACTACACGCACACCATTCCCAACGAACCAGGTCTGGACGGCGGACCACCAGGTGCTTGTAGACGTTAAACTCCAGACCCTGGTCGACTAAAGATCGTGTCAGCTTCCCATCTGACTCCAGGGGTTTCTACGGATCCAGCCTTTTTATTCGTACGAAGTCGGGTGAGTTTACACGCTGTCTTTAACCTCCGGAATCAGTAGTTTTCTGTTCCATGTACCAACATTTGCTGTGTTTCCTGGGGAATGACCGGCCTGGCCAGGTCAACCTATCTATTCTCCAATCTAAGTGAGGGCTCTTGGTGATTCACCAACTGCTAAGACCAGTGACGGCTCATTTTCGTTTACAAAGGTTTCCATTACCTCATAGCCGGATTCCTTATTACTCTCCAGCAAGGATGCCCTGGACTGATCTCAACCTCACTTTATGACCCCTTGTTCGTATACCTGGGCTTCACAGTCTTCCAAGGAAAGTCGACCCGCACCCTGTCCCAGGTGGTGAAGTTCCGGGGTTCAGGATAGATGCGCCCTCGGGGGTGCTTCGTCGCCCACAGTCATAAATATTCCACAATTTGCATGGTTAGCCAGACAATTCTATGGTGCGACCAGATTCCCCTCGCACACTAGCCTGCGGAGTAGACCTATTTTCAGATGATACCACTCGCAATCTCAAGTTGTTACACCGATAATTTATCAGACTGTTGCATCCTCCTGAGAATGGACACTATATTGGCATTGCATTACATTGACCGCCTTGGCGGAGCCCGGTCACATGTTACCAGGTACAGTGAATCCTGCGGCAGATTGACTTTTTCCCAGGATTGGAGGAACAACAACAACTGGCATCTCTGTCGATCGCATTTCCGTCACATCTCGCTGTCAAAGGATCCATTCAGGACGAATCTATTGGCCTCCCGGGATTATTACCAACAGAACAAGCATTGTTTGCTTTGTTGACTGAGCGTTAAAACAGCAAATATGAACCCTCCTGTCGTGTTATAAAATTGTATATTATGCTAGCTTTAGTGTATAATCTTAATTTTATTAATGACAGGAGGCAAATATTTCCCTCCCACTTTTTTCATCCCTTCCCTTGTTTGACCTCTGGTCAGAAGTTTTGGGTAATCGGGTTTGTATGCAATTCTGCTTGTTGTTTCTGCTACCTGTTGCTTTTCATGTTACTGTTTCTTACATAGAACGGTTGGGATCTCTGTGCATTACAGCAATACTGTTTGTCGCACTGGGTGACTGCATGTTTTTTCAGAGTACATTTCATTATCTAACCAGCCCATTCGACTATGGTTTTTCTCGTTTCAGTTTATAATCTGTCCGTGCCACCACGTTTGAAATTTCCTCTTGGCTGGATGACATCATTGACTTTACTGCCTACAAGGACTTATGCTACACTGCATGGTTTTATTCTGTTTCTTATTCTGTTTTGTCGCAGCTTGAAAGAGGAAGTTATGTGTGGGGGGGGGAGCTTTATTGCATCTAACTTTTTTCTGATTGGTTGATTTTCTCTGTGTTAATGTGCTGTCATTAAAGGACCACTATAGGCACCCAGACCACTTCAGTTCAATGAAGTGGTCTGGGTGCCAGGTCCATCTAGGGTTAACCCTTCAGCTGTAAACATAGCAGTTTCAGAGAAACTGTACATAGAAAAAGTCTTAGATCTTTGAGTTCAGCTCATGAAAAATGGGGGCAAAAACAAAAGTGTTGCGTTTATAATTTTGTTCAGTGTATATAAACACATTATATATATAATTATATATAAATATACTACCCTGCAGGTAGTTGTGTAGACTGCCATTCTGGCCATGTGATCTCGATGTACCTTTCCCGGAAAGGGTGGGTTGGCTGCAGGGAGACTGCCTGGGTTGTCAGGCAGTCCCCCCGACCAGGATCATTGCAGAAGGTGAGTACATTTGGTCTGGAGGGCTTCAGATTGTTAGGACATACCATGCCGCCCTAACTGCGTAAAAACCCCAGTTTTTACAGGGAGGCATGGTATGCCCTAACGGCGTTAAACGGTTAACATTACAAACACACCCTTGCATTCTAACACTACCCACAAGCATACTCCTGCATTCAAACACCAATACTACCCACAAATGATTCTGTGTGCAAACAGCATTATACACAAACATATTCACACACAGAGACACTGCAAACAAATCCAAACCTGCAAAGATGGGGTGCGGGGCCGGGCCGGCAACAAGCGACACAAAACACACGCAAACAGGCATAAAACCTACCAAAACACCCACGAAAAGACGGACAATCAGGAGGTGAGGCACCCGGGAGCACAGAGCCGTGATACCAACCCGACAGGCAACGCCATTGGAGCATGGCGAGCCCCAGAAGCCTGAGGCATGCTAAACGAGCAGGCAACAAGAGGAGATGCAGGAGATATGGCACGGTCCCGTTCCCCCCCCCCCCCACCCGGCCGAGGGGGTGATCCCGGCCCAAGAGTCCAAGCTTCAGAAACTGGAGAAGGGGACAAGCCAGACACACAAGGTATGCACACATGGAGCTAAAATGGCTGACAGACGCTCCACATCAATACAGCAACGAGGGGGAACCTGCGTGCACATAGCGGAGACCCAGGTTGAGATGACCCGGCACCCGGAACGGTGAACCCCACAACTGAGCCCCAGAGGCGGCGGAGTCGGCTCTGACCTCTGGATTTGGGGGTGGTCCAGAGAATATGCCTTTGTGTGTTATTAGTTTAAGCAGACTGTGATTGTCTATTGTTGTGACTTAGATGATGATCAGATCACATTTTATCACCAATTTGTGCAGAAATCCATATCATTCCAAAGGGTTCACATACTTTTTCTTGCAACTGTACCTGTCGAATGCCCTTGATATATCAAATCTCGCAAAGTCTAAGTACATCCAATTTACTTTATTGGTTGTTTATTCTGACTTATATGCCTCTGCGCAGGCAACCATATGTTATTTTTACCAATTCGTAAAATGTCTGCCTACGCTTTTTTGCGACTCTAATAAACATATTTAAAACAAACCTGCAAAGATGGACAAATGGTAGAACCACAGCTGTAAAAGCATTGTGGACAAATGGTAGATCCACCCCTACCCCAAAAATTGGTTCTCTCTATATCAGTTCCATCACTGAGATAACTTATTTCCACAACACTCCTCCTCCCATAGCACATGTAAAGAAATGCATTTTCTAGAAAAATAAAATAAATCTCTTACCACACAAAGTACTTGGAGAAGCATATTGCCCACAATTACTTCCTGTGGATGGATATAATAATAATAATAATAATAAAAAAAAAAAAAACATAAAATAAAATGTAAAAAGAGGAATTATAATAACAATAATAAGATTGATAATTGATAGTGCAGCAGGAGGAGGTGGTGCTTAGGGTCACAGTATTTAGAACAGATGATACAGGAAGCAAATGCAGCATAAAGCTATATAAGTAACTGTAAAACTATATGAAGCAATAATTCACAGTTTGCCACATCTGTAGCAAAATATCTGTTGGAATTTCGGTAAGGAACTAAACGGTTGGCAGGACAGCAAATATGATATAGTTCTCTTGGAATCCCATGAAACTTTAATGTAAAGCATTGGATACAATTATTGAACTTCTCTTCCTGAATTGCCCCATTACTGTCCCTCTATTCCCCTGTATACCCACGTGCACACAGTCCCTTATCACCCCACCTCTTTCTTCATCCTTTCTTTCTTTCTAGAATACTGTTCACTTTAGCATCTCACCTTCTCCTTTTTCCATTAACCCATTCAGTTGCTCTGCTTTTTGCCTCTTCCCCATAGGAGGATATGGAAGCCTTGTGTAGATGCCGGGGTCCGAGACAGAAAAGCTAAGGGACGCGGGGGACAGGAATGAGGGGGGAAATCCTACAAGAAATGAAAACATATTAAAATCCTTAGCAGGGAGGAGAGCTGAGGGTGTGTTTGAGTGTGAGTGGAGGACGGGTTGACGGGGTTCAGGGAGGAGCAGTGCCAGGGATGTAGAGTGGAGACTCCCAGCAGAGGAGGGGTTAAGGTAATATGGAAAGGGCGAGTCTGAGTGGCTATAGTGGGGTCTGGTAGCGGTAGGTGAGGGTGAGAGAGGTGTTTGGGGATGAGAAACTTTACTTATATCATAGACCTACACTGAGCAGGAGAAATGGATTCTGCCCGTTCACTTCCTCAACCCGATGTTACATTGTATTTCGCTGATGATTCAAAACGCAGATCTTGGGACAGGAGTCAGGACCCAGTAGTGGAAAACAAAGAAATTTAAGTGGGTTCCAAAGATTGGAATGCACGGTGGTGGTTCCCCCACCACCACCATTGTGTGTTCCAATCTTTGGAACCCACTAAACTTATTTTGTTTTCCAATGGTAATCCATTTTTTGAACTCTTGCAATGCATTTTAAGAACTTTGCCTCAGAATTACTCTTCGTCCAACTGCCCCCCTCCTCCCCTTGGATGAAGAGTAATTCTGTGGCAAAGTTCTAAAAATGGATTGCCATTGGTTTATTGAACGTTAACCCAGAGCCAGATTAAGCATGTTTAGGGCCCTAGGCAGGGCCGGCGCGTCCATAAGGCGGCACAGGCGGCCGCCTTAGGGCGCACCGGCTCTGGGGGCGCAATATTTCAGTGACCGGCAGGAGGGAAGCTCTCCCTCCTGCCAGGCCACCTTTTGGATCCCCGGCGCGGCGTGCGGCTGTGCTGTGATCAGACGCGGCGAGGGAGCTCTAATCTCCACGCTCTGCTCCCTCGCGCGCTGTCTGCTGATACCGCGGGAGCCGGAATATGACGTCATATTACGGCTCCCAGCCTCACTTTGCGGCGCGCGAGGGAGCTGAGCAGACCGCTCAGGGGAAGAGCTCCCTCGCCAGCCGCCCGCCCAGCAGCCACTGGACCACCAGGGAGGTAATGAACCCCTTCCCCCCCCAGCACTCCCAGAGGTAAGGAGGTGGGGGGGGGAGTGAATAAAAAAAATAAATAAAGTGTTAATGTGAGTGAGTGTGTGCTTCTGTTAATGTGTGTGTGTGTGTCTGACTGTGAGTGTGTGTCTGCTAGTGAGTGAGTGTGTGTCAGTGTGTGTCTGACTGTTAGTGTGTGTGTCTGTTAGTGTGTGTGTGTGTCTGCTAGTGAGTGTTAGTGTGTATGTGTGTCTGACTGTGTGTGTGTCTGCTAGTGAGTGTGTGTGTGTCAGTGAGTGTGTCTGTTAATGTGTGTTTGTTAGTGTGTGTGAGTTTGTGTGTGTGTCTGCTAGTGAGTGTGTGTCTGTTAGTGTGTGTGTCTGACTGTTTGTCTGTTAGTGTGTATGTGTGTGTCTGACTGTTTGTCTGTTAGTGTGTGTGTGTGTGTCTGAGTGTGTGTCAGTGAGTGTGTGTGTGTTTCTGTTAGCGAGTGTATGCGGATCTGTCAGTGAATGTGAGTGTGTGTGCTAGTGAGTGTGTATGTGTGTGTGTGTGTGTGTCAGTGTGAGATTGTGTCAGTGAGTGTGTGTCTGTTAGTGTGTGTGTGTGTTTCTGTTAGCGAGTGTATGCGGATCTGTCAGTGAATGTGTGTGTGTGTGTGTATTTAGAAGGCGGGGCGGGGGGAAGGGTTGGGGGGGCCTGGCGCGGTGGGGGGGGGGTGCCTGAGTTTTGTCCTGCCTAGGGCAGCACAAAACCAGGATACACCACTGACTGGACCCCAGGGAATGATTCATCATCCACACCAGCTCTCCAGGTAGGGAGGCTGGGTGGAAAATGTTTATTTATTAAAATAATTAGTGAGTGTGTGTATGCGTGTCTGTGTGTCTGTGAGTGACTGTCTGTGATTGAGTGTGTGTGTGTCTGTCTGTGTGTGTGTCTGTGTGTTAGTGTATGTGTGCCTGAGTGTCTGTGTGCCTGTGAGTGACTGAGTGTGTGCATGAGTATGTGTGTCTGTGAGTGTGTCTGTGAATGCTTGTATGAGTACTGCATGTGAGTGTATGAGTGTGGCAGTGTATGTGTGTCTGTCAGTGTCTGTCAAATCAGTGAGAGTATCTTTGTCATTGAGTCTGTGTGTGAGTATCAGTGTGCCTGTCAATGAATGAGTGTGTGTCAGATCAGTGAGTCTGTGTGTTTGTCATTGAATGTGTGTGACTGTCAGTGTGTATACACCACTGAGTGTAGCGTGGTGGAACGCAGTACAGGAGCTTCTGTTTCCTGTACCCGGCCAGACTGACCGGAGGTGCTCACTGAGAGAGCACTCCCTGTCAGTCCGGCCAGGTACAGAAAATTGAAGCTCCTGTAGGGGATATCCTCCACTTGGCAACGCTACAAGAGAGGTAGGAGGCACACCAGGAAGGGGAGTGCGACCACTAAGGGGGTGGAGGGTGCACCAAGGGACGGGGAGGGGAGGGGAGAGAAACACCAAGGGACAGGAAAAAGAGGGGAGAGCTTAGAAGAACACTAAGGGACAGGCAAGGGAGGGGACCACTAATGGACGGGGAGAGGGGCTGGTTAAGAGGCACATAGGTGAAGATGTTATTTGGGGGGGGTGGAAAGATACATCTTCGCCTATGTACCGAAAAATCATTGCACCGGCCCTGGCCCTAGGCCCACTGCCTATTACTCCATTTCCCCCTATTTGGGTTACAATGCATATATCCACTTCCCATACTTCTTTCTACTAACTTTGGTTTTGGTAGTATGGGAGTCCTGAGAGTGATATGTCAGGGATGCATGCTGTTTGCACGGGCAAGGGTATGACAATATTCCTGCTCCATATAGGCACTTATTTTGCACCTAACTGGTGTTTCCAGGACTCAGTAATGTATGTTTGCTGCCCACCTGTGCTCCTTCTAGTTGGTTAAAGTGTACATATCCAAACTGGCTCAGGGAAGACGCCCTCACTGGGAGAGGCATAACTAGAAACTACTGGGCCCCAGTGCAAAAATTGCCCTGTATCGCCTCTCATGTGTTTCATCCCCATCCAGCCCTTCCATGTGTCTCATCCGCCCAGCTCCTCAATGTGTCTCTATTCCCCCATACCACTCCACGTGTCTCATTCCTCATTCCATGTGTCTCAATTCTGCCCCAGCCCCCTATTTGTCTCATTCTGCTCCATATGTTTTAACCCCCCATTTCATGTGTCACAATTTCAAACCTCCATTTGTTTAAAAATACATAGGGATTAAGGAGAGAGCGTAGGTAACTTGTTTTTCTTTGGTTTTTACTATATATTGGGGCTGATGTGTACTGTAGTCTTTTCTGCCGCCCAGTGATGGGAGTGAGCGCAGGACTTATCTTTCTGCATTTGTATCAAGCAGTTATTAAATTGAAAGAGTATATCCTTGAATATTCTGTTTTTGCAAGTATGCATCTAGAAGCTGTTTGAACATCTGTATGGACTCTGATAAAACCACTTCTTCAGGCAGAGAATTCCACATACTTATTGTTCTTACAGTAAAAAAATACCTTTCCTTTGCCTTAAAAGAAATCTTCTTTCTTCCAGTCTAAACGCATGACTTCGTGTCCTATGTAAAGTCCGGTTTGTGAATAGATTTCCACACAATGGTTTGTATTGGCCCCGAATATATTTGTATAATGTTATCATATCCCCTCTCAGGCGATGTTTTTCTAAACTAAATATGGTTAAATTTGTTAACCTTTTTTCATAGCTGATATGTTCAATTCCTTTTATTAATTTTGTAGCCTGCCTGTGCACTTTTTCAAGTGTCATAATATCCTTCTTTAGAACAGGTGCTCAAAATTGCACAGCATATTCAACATGGAGTCTTACCAGTGATTTATAAAGAGGCAAAATTATATTCTCATCCCGAGAATGAATGCCCTTTTTCATGCATGAAAATACCTTACTGGCCTTAGCCACTGCTGATTGACATTGCACATTGTTGCATAGTTTGTTGTCTATAACAATTCCCAAGTTCTTTTCGTGTGTTGTTATCCCTAATTTGCTTCCATTAAGGGTATACGTTGCTTGTGCATTCTTTACGTCGTAGTGCGTAACTTTGCATTTTTCAACATTAAATTTCATCTGCCATTTGAGTACCCAGTCCCCCAGTCTATCTAAATCCCTCTGCAGTAATATCTTGCTCACATTGTATTATTTTACAGAGGTTTGTGTGATCAGCAAATACTAAATAATGTATTTCAATGCTTTTTTCAAGATCATTTATAAATATGTTAAATAGAAGGGGTCCCAGAACAGAACCCTGAGGGACACCACTTGCCACCTCTGTCCAGCTTGAAAATTTACCATTGATGACAACTCTTTGTACTCTATTTTTAAGCCAATGTTCTACCCAAGAACAAGCATTTTCATCTAGACCGATTTCCTTGAGTTTGAACACTAATCTATTGCGTGGAACTGTATAAAATGCCTTGGCAAAATCCAAATACATCCCATCCACTGCAAAACCCTGATCTATACTTATACTTACTTCTCCGTAGAACACAATCAAGTTAGTTTGATATGACCTGTGCTTCATAAAACCATGCTGACTTTTGCTGATAACCATGTTCTTCTCAAGGAATTCTTGAATATTATCCCTTAATAACCTTTCAAATATTTTCCCAGCCACAGAAGTTAAACTCACAGGTCTATAATTTCCAGGCAGGGATTTTGAACCCTTTTTGAATATAGGAACCACATATGCCTTCCTCCAATCCTCCGGAACACTTCCTGACAGAAAAGAATCTTGAAAGATTAAAAAGTAGACATTAGAACACCTGCATTAAGCAGTAGTTGTTCTGGTGACTATAGTATCTCTTTAATTATGCATTTTTGCATTGGGTTATGTGAATGAAATGGATCCCCTATACTCCGACTGCGTATATCCGCTGTAATTTACCCAAATCCCAAGTGAAGCAGTGATTATAATTCTGGTATACCCAAATATCTGCCTAGACTTGATGAACAGTACAAGAAGACTATTTTATTATGGCCCACTTATATACACAGCAAGTATACAGTAACACACACCCAGAACACTCCAACAACACGCCAATGAATTTCTGTGTCTAAATGACTAAACATAAAATATTAAAAATACATATAAGACATAGAGGAACCCCCACAAATATTACATCCTTAAATAGCCCTGGCCTGAGAGCCCAAGTTCTCCAAATAGCGCTCAGATCCATGCTGTGTAGGGGAAACTCGTGATATACCAGAGAATGCCTTCCTGCTCCTCAGAGGATCTGGAGAACGATGCCAACTGTGGTGGCTGATAAACGGGAGAGGACAGTGCTCCGACTACGAACGCTGATCTTAGAAACCTCCTGTATGACTTAAAGGACCACTATAGTGCCAGGAAAACATACTCGTTTTCCTGGCACTATAGTGCCCTGAGGGTGCCCCCACCCTCAGGGTCCCCCTCCCGCCTGGCTCTGGAAGGGGGAAAGGTGTTTAAACTTACCTTTTTCCAGCGCTGGGCGGGGAGCTCTCTGCCTCCTCTCCTCCTCCGATCCTCCTCCTGGGCTGAATGCGCACGCGCGGCAAGAGTTGCGCGCGCATTCAGCCCGTCGCATAGGAAAGCATTTACAATGCTTTCCTATGGACGCTGGCATGCTCTCACTGTGAAAATCACAGTGAGAAGCACGCAAGCGCCTCTAGTGGCTGTCAATGAGACAGCCACTAGAGGGAATAGGGGGAAGGCTTAACCCATTAATAAACATAGCAGTTTCTCTGAAACTGCTATGTTTATTAAAAAATGGGTTAACCCTAGAAGGACCTGGCACCCAGACCACTTCATTAAGCTGAAGTGGTCTGGGTGCCTAGAGTGGTCCTTTAAGCAAAATGTTCCAAGCAGACTGCTCATGATCCAAGAGGAAATGCATACCATCAAGGGTCAAATAAAGGATGTGGAGGAGGAATTTGTGACTGCTCATCAAGCCCAGCTTAACAATGCCTTACTCACCAAGCAACTCACGCAGGAGTATGTAAAACTTATCTGCTGGTGGCCTGTCTAGAGGATACCCTGAGACGGCACAACCAGAAAGTCATGTGTGGAGAGCGAAGTTAGCATTGAAGAAAAGTCCCAGTACGTATGTCGTCTTCTCTCCTCTCTATCATCAGCTAAGTGTATCACTGCAGTGTAACGAGTAGGCTGTCCCTGTGGACCCACGGCTGCTACCTTGCGAGATGTAATAGTGATATTCCATTCCATGATTGACAAATGGTTGGCTGCGGTCTGAGCTAAACAACCACTGGACTTTGAGAGCTCCAGTCTGTCTTTCTACGAGGATCTTAACTGAGCTACTCTCACCTGGAGGGCATCTTTTCAGCCTGTCACCCAATGTCTACAAGCCACAAGAATGAAATACCAGCGTGCCTCGTGTGCTGTTTGCAACCTGAGAGGGTAAGGAGCATAAGCTAGAAGCTATTGCTGGAGCACCAAGCTTCTACCGGGCTCTGGGCCTGAATGATCAACCCTCTCTCCATCAGGTCTCCACTTCATCTCCACAATGGGACATTGCTAATGTTGTGTCATTCATGGCCAGAAATGACTGTAGGGTTGCCTTAATGTCCTGTGAAATGATGCAGACTGCTGAACTGCTCCTGCAGTTCCTTATTTTTTATTACGCCGTAACCAGTTGGCTCTTATTTGTTGCATTTCTTGTTTGCTTTGTGTAACGGAGCGCCTGGCACCCCGACTGTGTACCTCCGTTGATGAATGCTCCTAGTGCTTCCTGAGGACTCCAAGCACTCCGCCAGACACCATAACCACTGTAGACTCCCATGAACCGCCGCAGCTTAGTTGGGGTCTCGCTGTCTTCCACCCACTCTGGACCCAAGACCAGGGTTCAGCTTCCAGTGGGTAGACCTCTCTTAACTCCAGAGAGCAGGAACCAGGAACAAGAACAAGCTCTTACAAGAGCTTGCACTGGGAGTATTGTGATATAGCAATCCCCAGAGTGTGGGCAATTCTCCAATCCCCCAAACATGAGCCGAAACTTCATGAAGGACAGGAAACGGGGGAGGGGAAGAGACACACCTTCCCAAGGCAGTTTGATTTTAGAACTGTTCTGTTGCATAATTTTTATTATGATTACTGAACCCTGTAGGGTTTCTCTCTCTAATATGTCAAACCCAGTCAATATTTTTATTACTTAGGCTTTCCAAGATGGCCATGTGAGCCTTAACCATGCCTCCCCGATACCCATGGGTAATAGGGTACTGTCACATAAATACGCTATTAGATATATCCTTATATATGTATCATTCCGGGAACGGTTTTTCATTGCAAACCGATCCCGTTTATACATATAATACTGGGGTAATTTACTACATGCTGATATGTGCTACTGTTTTCATATTTGCCTATGATATTGCTTTTTTTGGCACTGCCCTATTTGGTATTGTGCATCTACCTCAATAAAACATGATTGTCAAAAAAAAAAAAAGGTTTAGTAACAACAAAACGGTTTTTCATCTGCCTGCTCCCTTAGTCACACCATATATACCTGACCTTCATGTTGTCAGGATTATAGTTGATCCAGCACGCAGAATTGTATTCGACCTAAAGACTAAGGATAATGTCTAACCGGACCTTAGAATGGCCAGACTTAACGTACCAGAGAATAGTCAAAATACTTGCCGAGGTCAGGGAAACAGAATGAGACGCAACGATGAGGAAAGCCAGACATCAAGGATACCAGAAATCAGGGAAGTCAAAACAAAGCCAAAGTCAAATACCAGAAAAAACACGATTAGGAACACACTCTCAGATAACCAGCTAGTGGAAACCACGACAGGGCACTGGCAAAAAGGTAATTTGGGTTTAAATAACCCTCTTCAGGCTGTAATTAGCTGTCTCTGGCCTCTGACCCCCAAAACGTGCGTGCACGTCTATGACGTGACATGGCACACACGTTGACGCCATCTTTAATGTGGGCAAAGGTAAGTTTATTATAAAATCCTGAACCACAGCAACCGTCATTCCTAAGAACGTCGCACCCGTTGGGGACCGGAACAGAGGGAGACCGGGCAGCTGCTGGCGGGCAGCTGCTGGCCGCGACCAGAGTAAGTTTGAAACCTTTCTGTCAGCGTGGCTGCCTAGTTTATGTGCAGCCACGTCAACAGAAGAGCTGAGTGCCGTGACACATGTCAGCTTAGGTACGAAGTTCACCCACTAAGAGATAAATGTGAGCAAAACTGCTGAATGGCAAACAGCCATTCCACACAGCCACCCACAACACACAGCCTCCCCACACACACAAAAAAAACACTACAAAACCACGAGCAGCATCCATGTGCACACACAAAACACAAGCAGTAACAACACAAGTAGCCCTCGCATACAGCCACCATGCTCATGCAGTTTCCTACACAAACACATACAGCAACTCCATAAGTAGCCTTCCTCCACACTCATAGCATCACCACATAAAGACACCCCTAAACCAACTTCAACACACACATTGAAGACCTCATTAGATAACTATAATGAAAAAAGACTAAAAAAGAAGGGAAAGAGAAAGATGGTTGATGGGGAAAAAAGACACTGACGGTAAATGACTGTGTAATAAACTAGGTTCATTCAACTACCTTTGTTTAGTCCATGTGCCTTGGAATTAGACGTGTCCCCGGTCGACCAATTGCTCATTTTTCTGCTTGTCCTCTCATGAGTAACATATTACCGACAATTAAGGCATACATGCAATGCTTTTGATTGATAGTAACGTTTGAAACCTGTTAGTTAGGTATTAAGGAGTTTGTTGATTTTTTTTACACCTTAAAGCTATTCAGGTATTTCTGCATACCATATAAGCAGTGTGTAATGTGATTATTTATGTAGAACTCTTGATTGTCTGTTTCTTTTACTGTGTTTTTAGTCGTATTGTGTGGCCAATTTTCACCAGTTTCTCACTTCTAAAGGATTTTGCTTTGTTGTGTTGTTTTTTTTGTTTTGTTTTTTTTATTTCAAAGGTATTCCATCAACCCAATGTGTGCCGCTGTAGTAAGAAAACTGCCACTGCAGGTTTTCAAGAAAAATCCCAGTTGGCCGGTCCACGTCTGGAGAGCATTTAACCACCCGCCCAAGCACAAACCTGCACAGTGCTGAGCTAGGAAAGGCCTTGCACACGATTCCATTCTGCTGTCTTATTCCTGGAGAACTGCCAACAGACATGAAAATACACCTCCAGTCGCCTTTAATCACAAGAAGAATGATGTGATGCTGCAGCCCAAAACTCTGCATTGACTGTATTGACTAAGAAACAGACTATGTTTGCTACTACAAGCTATATAAGATCTGAACATGATATTAAAACCACGGATAGGTCCAATGAATAACATTGATTATATTGTTACTATGGCACCTGTCAAAGGGTGGGATATATCAGGCCACAAGTGAAAAGTCAGTTCTTTAATTTTATGTGTTGGAGGCAAAAATGAGCAAGCAAAAAAAATGGGTCAGAACATCTTCAAAATGGCAAGTCTTTTGGGGGGGTGTTCCCAGTATGCAGTGGTTAGTACCTACCAAAAGTGGAAGGACAACCTACACAATATTAGGCAGGTGGTTTTAATTTTGTGACTGATCAGTGTATTATATAGGGCAGTTACATTATGTGGATAAATCGGATCTTATTTTTTATTTTGGAAAGCTCACACAATTGTGGAAAGGAGGATTATGGGCAGAGGCATGGGCAGAATTGGCCAATGATGCCTGAGTGAGACCATCTGCAAATTATAGACATATACAATCTGTACACAAAGAAAACAAAAACTATCCCTTACTGAGATAGTGAGTGATATACTAAAGTGCCTGAATAAAAGCAGCTCAACACAAAAAGTGGAATACCTTAATCCACAATGAAGTGCAAAATACAAGAAAATGCAAAATACAAGAAAAAAAGGTATAAACAATATACCAGCAAGTGGAGCGCTATATTGAATATATATATAAATAATGAGGGGGTATACTCACCCCTCCAACATAGTGATACAATGTGTCCAAATGTACATACAAAGTAAAACAACAAAAAGAGAGAATATAGTGCAGATGGTTTACAAAAAAATAAAAAATGAATAATGGTAGCAATTGGTTGAAACCACTCACGTGGGTTGGAGCCTATAAGCTATTGGCTCCGTAAGTGACTCCTTCTTGCTCTTGAGGCAGCAACACACCCCTTTATCCCAAACGATATTCTCCCGAAGATATGGAACAAACTTAGACAGAGCCTTGAATTCCTGGCTCTGAGGTTTGTTGGCAATGTGCTAATTTATTGGGATAGCATTCCCCACATGGTGTTCCTGGAGGCTAGAAAGGACTATATGGACTAATATATAAAAAAAATAACAATTTATTGTAGAGATAAAAAATAATAATAAAAACAATATTTAGACTTCTCAAAAGCACATAAGCTAAATGATGGAAAGTCCAAGTATAAAAGTCCAAACTCCAGCTAAACGCGTTTCACTCTTGTATGAGCTTCCTCAGTAGCTGTGAAGTAGCCTCAGGAATCTTCCACTTTATAAGTGCTCTAAAGTTGATTCGGATCCTCCCTTTGAGGTCACAGGATGTGTGATTATCCAATCATAAGGTCAGAGTCTCTTTCAAATTTCTTATATTAATCACCTGTAGTAAAAAAGCTTACATTGGCTAAATTGCCTGTCAATCAATCAAAAAGCTTGATTATTATTGGTGGTTGGATGGTGCTGTATTTTTCAAATTTCCTATATTGATCACCTGTGGTAAAAAAGCTTGCATTGGCTGAATTGCCTGTCAATCAGTTAAAAAACTTATTCTATTGGTGATTAGATAGGGCTATCTTTCTCAAAATTTTTTTTATACTGATCACCTGTGGTAAAAAGGCTTTCATTGGCTGAATTGCCTGTCAATCAATTAAAAAACTTGATTAGAACAAATTCTATTGGTGATTGGATGGGGCTGTCATGTATAGCACCCATTCAGGGCAGTGGTTGGCGGAAGTGACATCACTTCCGCCCTCCAACATCTTCCCAAATGTCATTGTTAATAAAAAAAAAAAAAAAAAAAACGGAATGCATATTAACAAAGTGAAATAGATAGATAGGTACAATAACAGAGAGATTTCCCTCAAATATAAAATAAAAGGGATTACCAAAATGGGGGTCGATTAAAAACTTACTGGATGAGAGAGTGCAATCAAGACAAACTTCTCCCATTGGATTTCAAGACTTCATTTTATAAGAGGACATAAAACCAAATGGCATAAATTTTGATAGTACAGATATAATATTGCAGATGGTACAGATATAATATGATACTGTTGAATATATGTTAAGGATAATTAAAGGAAATGACAGAGTTCGAAATCTATATTTAGACCTTTGGGTTGTAAAGTCCCAAGGCTAAAAATCCATCTCATTTCATTTTGAGCTAAAATTTTGTTAAAATCACCGCCTCTCCAATTTCCTAAAGTTTTGTGTATGCCCATAAATATGAGCCCCTGAGGATTGCTGTTGTGTGTAATCTTGAAATGATTGGATACACTGTGTCCTTCATATCCCTTCTTAATGTTCCTTATATGCTCTTCTATTCTAATATGCAGATTACGTTTTGTGCGGCCCACATACTTGAGGCCACATGGACATTCCAACAGGTACACTACATTGGTTGAATGGCAAGTGATGAGATTGTTTATGTTGAACTCTTCATTTTCTTTAGTACTTTTGAATTTCCCTATATGTCTTTTTTTGCTTCCAGTGTTCCTGCACGCCAAACATATTCCACAACCAAAGAAACCTTTCCTAGTATCAATTGGCTTTATGCTGCATGGTTTTCTGATGTGGTTCCTTACTAGTAATTTTTTCATGTTAGGTGCCCCTCTAAAGATCACCTTGGGTTTGTCTGGTAGAATGGTGAACAGGACTGGGTCTTCCTTTAAGATTGACCAGTGTCTATTAATAATTTTTCTTAAATGACGGTTACCATGACTGTAATTACAGAATATAGGTATGTTGCCATTATCATTAAATCTTTCTTTATTCTCATTAATCCCTTTATCTATTAATAGGGTTTCTCTCTTAATTGCCATCACTTGATTGAGATCTTTGGTTAGATCATCTTGTTTATATCCTTTCTCCAACATTTTACCTTCTAATTTATGTGACTGTTCAATAAATTTAGTTTCCTCAGTGCAGTTCCTTTTTATCCGGATAAATTGAGATTTGGGGATTCCCTTAAGCCAAGGTGTAAAATGACAGCTCGTGGTGTGAATGAAACTATTCACATCTACTTTTTTAAAATGAGTGCTCGTTTTGATTTTATTATCTTCAATAAAAATGTCAAGATCTAAAAAATTCACTCTCGTTTTGTTAAAATCCGTAGTGAGGGCTATGCCCCAATCATTATTGTTCAATGTATTAATGAAATCGGTTAGTGATTCTTCTGTTCCTTCCCAGATAAAAAACAGGTCATCTATGTAACGGCGATAGGTAACGAGGCCCGTCGCCCAGCCCGCCCCATGATGGATAAACTGGAGCTCCCAATATGCCATAAAAAGATTGGCATAGCTGGGCGCGAACCTCGTTCCCATCGCCGTCCCACAGGCCTGTAAATAAAAATGTCCATCGTACCAGAAATAATTGCTGGTTAAAATTAAAAGAATCCCTTGCATAATAAAATCTATATGGTCAGGGGAAAAATTACCTGATTGCTCTAAGAAAAACCTGGTGGCCATACAGCCCCTATCATGTGCAATATTGGTGTAAAGGGAGCTCACATCAGCAGTGGACAGAAAATAATTTTCGTTCCACACCAATTTTTCTATGTGTCTTAATATATCCCCAGTATCCTTCAGATAGCTGGGTATTCCTTGAACAATTGGTTGCAAGCATTGGTCTATATACTCAGATAATCTACAGGACATAGAACCAATGCCTGAGACTATAGGCCTCCCTGGAGGTTGAGTGGAATTCTTGTGGATTTTGGGGAGGTGGTATAGTACTGGAATTCTTGGGAAATCAATTTTTAAGTAATTAAACTCTTTTTGGTTCAAGATCCCATTTGTAAGTCCTTCATTTAGGTAATTATGGAATTTGTCCTTGAGATTCTTTGTAGGATCTGCTCCTAATTTAATATAGGTATTGGTGTCCTCCAGTAATTTGTATGATTCCTTGTTTTAGTCATCTAATGTCATTAAAACTACACCCCACCCCCTTATCGGTGGGTTTTATAATTATTGAATTATCTTTCTGGAATTTCTTCAGGGCCATACACTCTTTCCTGGTGAGGTTCTGTTGATGTTTATTGGGTTCTTTAATTTTATTTATATCTCTCATCACTAATTTTTCAAATGTTACCATTTCACCTGATAGAACTGGGATAGAACTTTGATTTTTCTTTCAAGTTAGTATGTTTATAGACATCATGTTGTGTATCTTCAGAATTAGTTAAAAAAGGGTTCTTGTAGAAAAATTTCTTTAGACATAATGTCCTCTTAAATTTATTTAAATCAACATATGTCTCAAATTTATTTAGCTTTTTAGTTGGTGCGAATTTCAAACCCTTCTGTAACAATTTGATTTGAGGAGAATTCAAGACATATGGTGTTAGATTGAAAATCCCTGCTTGTTTTTCTCTATCTTTCATATTTACTGGTTTCGTCGGTCTCTTTTTTCTCCTCTGAAGGTTCGCTCCTCCTCTAACTCCCCTTCCTCTATACTTCTCCGTCTCTTCTGTGGTGATCTCTGTTGGTATTGGGGTTTGTGTTTGACTCTGTTCCTCAAGTTCCAAAAATCCCCTTCCTGAGGGGTTCTGGCTAAGGTCTCGAATCTATTAGAGATAGGTATATGTGACAACCTCCTTGTACTTTTACGGATTTTACTTTGGGCCGTTAAAAACTCGTCAGATCTTGCCCTTCTTTCTGTTCTTATTGGGGTTCTGATATTATCTTGGATATATGGCCTCGACACATGTGGTTCTCTTGTTTTCGTGCTCGAAACCTTAGGACGGTTCCATTCATTAGTGTGATTGGTTGTCCTGTATTCTGTTCTATTTCTAGGCCCATTTTGGAAATTGGGTTCATGGTACCTGTTTCGGATGTTATTTTGATAGTGTCTGACTGAGTGTTGTGTTTTATTTCTATCGCCTTGTCTATATATGGGCTGTTTTCTATTTCCATATGTGTAAGCTTCATTCTTATTGTAATCAGTCCTATCACGTGTGTATTTTTTCTTTTTAATTTGGATTGTATCTTTTTCTACTTTTTCTAAGGTGTGTTGTAAATTTTCGGTGATTTTCCTATATTTCTCGGAA